GGCCTTCGGGCGGGCAGAGCTCTGGCAGCTCTGGCCGCTCCGGGTCGCCGCAGTGGTGTTGCCCGCCATCGGTGCGACGACAGCCGCCCAACTCCGGGCCGCTATTGGGCTTGTCTCGTGATTGATCAGTCTCTTGAGGGTTTGAATGACATAGGCAGTGGCTTCTTTCGCGATCTGCTTTCTAGAACCGTCAAAGCTGGCGACAACGCTGTCGACGGACCGTGCAATGGTCAGAAAGACGTCTTTCCGTGCCTCGTACTGTCTAGCTTCTTCTGCAAGGGCTGTCAAGACGGACCCTGTGGCAGATCCGCTCGGAGCAGATGCGGTAGAGGCTGCGGGCCCCTCGGCCGAGGTAGGGGCGTCGGTGGTGGCATCAAGCTGGCTTCCCGTTAGGCTGGGCCGGGTCGGCTGTGCCTCGGCGTCGCGGCGTCGCTTAGCTCTTGAGGTGGGGTTCGGCTCCGGAGGTGTCCCGGAGCCTGGTTCGGGGTCGGCTTGGTCGGCCGACATCAGTCCGGTGCCCGACGGCGGCTGTGAGGCCATCGCGGATGCGGGCTCCGGCAAGGGGAGGTGAAGAGTTTTCGGCTGTTAGTAATTTGGTGGTAGGCTCACTCATTCACTAACAGCAGATGCCAAGAAAAATTAGGCGAGAGGGAAGTTGAGGCTCTTCCCTGCGTCCCTGCATGGGCTTTGTTGGCCTATTCGGTCTTTTACCTGTAACTCTGAATGATCTCCCAAGAGGAAACTAAGATGGTACAAAGATGTTATCGTGAGGCAGGAGCGGAGTTGGAAAGCCTGTTGGCTTCGTGCGTTGTTGCTGTTTGGTAGGCATCCTTCTCATGGAGTATTTTTCATCATGATCATTAGTGCTAGAGATAGCTTAGGGCGAATGTTACACACAAGCCACCCACATACCACATCTGATTCATTTCAACTGTATGCGGGGAGAGCGCAATCCGAGACGTAGGGCCTTGCAGGATTTTATCTGAAAAGCTCACGTGCCATCTCAAATGTTGAGAAAGCATACTTCTCACCTCTACTGCAACATTTGATGTTTGACCTTTTCCAGACCGCGCCAGCCATAAGAGACAGCAGTAAAAATGAGGGGTTAGAGGAATCCGGGCCACGATGACTAGTAATAGGCCATTTCCAGCTGCCCAGAGTGGAAAATGGATGTTTTGAATGAGTTTATGAGTATTTAAGGAAGCTCATCACATGGCCACAACGCATACGAAGTAGGTGTTCGTAGCACGTTCAGTTCATCCGCCAACACCCATGACTCGCGCCACCGGTGTCGGGATCACAAAGCACCGCCACTCTGTTCTCCGTAGATTTTTTTGTTTTTTCTCAGGGGCGTGCTCCAGCTTTTCGGCCCAGTGGTGCCCAGCCGGGGCCCGATGAATAAGGGGGTTCTCCACAAGCTTCCCCAACATCGTTACCCTGGCGTGCAGGCGGAGAAAGCAATCGACCCAAAATGAGTTGGAGAAGCTCTAGAACTGGAGCACCGATGCCAATGTCTCTCAATCAACGGTCACATGAGGCAAGTTAAAATTGGAATTCCAGCCACGGGTTCTGTTGCGTTGGTGACAATACGAGAGAGACCCTGAACGCAGGGCCAAGTTGCCAATAGCTCGGATATAAGAAGGGTTTTAGGAATTTTCAGCTTGTGTGCTAAATTTAGGCAGGTGAGTCTTTGAGAGATGGAGGATTTCCCTACGTTATGTGTTGATGTTTTTCTCTTGGAGTTGCTACTCAGTCTAGGAATACAGCTTTAACCAAGCCTTGAGTTTGGAATGTTTCGGCTCAATTTCACCCCCCGTGCCGTTTGATTGGTTTCCAGAGACTTCTAGGCATTCAAGCCACAGCTGTCTCGTTACTCCAGGTTGCTAAAATGTTGAGGTCAGTGATAGTGGCAAGGTGTGCTTTGGTAGCTCCACCTCTGATCCCAGTTTATCAGGCCGGACCAGTCCAGAAACGTCACCGGGCCCAGTTTATCAAAAATCAGACTGTTTGTCACTCTCTCATTAAAAACTTGCGGTCAGGACTCAGGAGACAGCGGTGTGTTCTTGATCACTTCAACTTTCAACCTCAAGCTCACTCCTCCCCCTCTCTCTCTCTCTCTCTCTCTCTCTCATAATTCGCTCTCGCCATCTCATCATTTAACTCCTGAATTACTCGCCTGTACCAATTGTTCATTTTTTCTAATCCTAAGATGCCTCACAGCACGGATAGCCTGAAGCTCACCAGCAACAACCTGTCCTCAATCTCCTCGCAGGAGGGCAAGCAGACCGTAAAGGTCCCCACCTACGACCGCAGCGTCGTCAAGGAGGGCATCGTCCACGTCGGAGTCGGCGGCTTCCACAGAGCTCATCTCGCCGTCTACATTGACCGCCTCCTCCAGAAGCACGATGAGACCGACTGGGCCATCTGCGGTGTCGGCCTCCGGCCCAACGACGCCGCCATGCGCGACGTCCTGAGCGCCCAGGACCACCTCTACACACTCATCGAGCGCTCCGCAAAGGGCAGCAACGCCAGCGTCATTGGCAGCATCAACTCGTTCCTCTTCGCGCCCGATGACCGTGAGGCCGTCATCGCCAAGATGGCTCACCCGGACACCCGCATCGTGTCCCTGACCATCACGGAGAGCGGCTACTACTACAACGAGAACTCTCACCAGCTGCAATCGGAGCACCCCGACATCCAGCACGATCTGGCCAACGAGACCGAGCCCATCAGCATCTTTGGCTTCCTCTACGCCGCGCTCGCCAGGCGCCACGCCAACGGCCAGAAGCCCTTCACCGTCCTCTCCTGCGACAACATGCAGAAGAATGGCTCCATCACCCGCTCCATGCTCGAGTCCTTCGCCCGCCTTAAGAACCCAGAGATCGCCGCGTGGATCGCCAAAGAGGGCGGCTTCCCCAACGCCATGGTCGACCGTATCACCCCCAGCACCTCCCAGAACGACATCAAGTCGCTTGCAGAGACCTTTGGCATCGAGGACGGCTGGCCCGTCGTCACCGAGCCCTTCATGCAGTGGGTCGTCGAGGACAAGTTCTGCGACGGTCGCCCGCCATTCGAGAAGGTCGGCGTCCAGATCGTCGAGGGTGTCCACGAGGTCGAGCAGTTCGAGAAGCACAAGCTGCGTCTCCTCAACGCCTCGCACTCCGCCATGGCGTACCCCGGCCAGCTCGCCGGCTTCAAGTACGTCCACGAGGTCATGGAGCACCCCATCTACCGCAAGTTCGTCTGGCAGATGATGCAGGAGGAGGTCAAGCCCCTGCTTCCCGAGATCCCCGGCGTCGATATTGACGAGTACTGCAACACCCTCATGGAGCGTTTCTCCAACCCCACCATCATGGACCAGATCCCCCGCGTCGCCCTCGGCGCGTCCGGCAAGATCCCGCAGTTCATCATGCCCTCCATCGCGGAGCAGATCTGGACCACGGGCCCCTTCCGCCGCCTGTGCTTCGTCGCCGGCGCCTGGTTCCGCTACATCAACGGCGTCGACGACGAGGGCAAGACCTTCACCGTCGACGACCCGATGCGCGAGGAGCTTCAGGCCCTGGCAAAGGCCGGCGGCAACGACCCCCGCCAGCTGCTCAGTGTCAAGATCCTGTTCGGTGACGATTTGCGCGGTGACCAGCGCTTCATTGATGAGGTCACCAAGGCCATGGAGCTCATCGCCAAGGACGGCGTGATGGCCACTATTCCCAAGTATGTTGATTAAAGCGAACGCACACTGGGATTGTAAAACTGTTTGTCGACTTGTGCTGGTACAAGCAGCCTTTTATGTTATAATGAGTAAAGCAGGGATAAAAATGGGTACTTGAAGCGGTCATGAGGATTTATAGATATAGATATAGATATTTATAGAGACATTTGTGTTTTGATTTTGTACAAAACGAAGCCATTCTGTGTACTGTATTCCAGGACCTTGAGATGGTGATAACTGTCACACAGGCACCAAAGATGGAGGTGCATGACGCAAACAACCAGGAGAGGAACTCAAGACTTTTAAATCGGCGGCAGGTTTCCTGGCAGCTTCAAGATATCCTTAAGCGACTAAAGCACCTTGCAAAAAGTGCGTTCCTTGGACCATTGCCAGGAAGTGACCATACCCTCTCCAGATAGATAGTGGGCCTTGTTATGATTTTTTGCCTTCATGTCAATGCCGTCAAGTACTTAACCTCGAGCCTGAATCTCCAGATCATCCATCATGTCTCAATTTCCCGTCGAGAAGTGGAACTTCAGCGACGATGAGAGAGTGAGTTACTACATCCACCTAGCTCCACGTCAGGTTATCACTATATAACTGTCTCGAAAGACGAATAAACTCATCGCAACTGGCGCCGACTTGAAGGTCTTGCACAAAGTGCAAAAAACCGTTACCCCTGACGCGGCTGAAAAGGTTGCGGACAGTCTCACCACGGGGCAGCAAAAGAAAAAAGTATTCAAGGGAATCCATCACGTCGCTGCTGCATCCAGCTCGTCCTTCGTCTTTGAAACCTTGGTCGAGATGTACCTAATGTCTTACAAGCTCAACGAGGATCAGACAAAGGCGATTGCGAGTCTGCGCCGTGAGGCCGAACTGTTGCGCGCGCAGCTAGCTACGCTGCGGTGCCAGGTGAACGACCTGGAGGGCAATACCGAGACTATTTATTGCAGATGATCTGGGCAGAAGTCATCGATCCCTCTACTTTAGGGCACTATGTAACATAAGTTGTCCTTCCTGGGGAGCATTCGAGCCTCTTTCGACTCTGATTCGAAGCGATGGGGACCCGAAACCATCGTAGCAAAGTAGACACGAAAAACATTGGTTCTCGCACTCGGAATCGAATGTGTCCTAAAAGAGCAGTGTTTCTCAAGCAGAAATCCCTCGCTGGCCTGTCTCTAGTAAAGGAGTCAACCGGAGTGTGAAAGGCAGCCCGGTTGTGGCAGCTCCACCACCGCCGCCCCATGCGAGCTCGGGTCGTCCCTTCCCGGCCGAATTCCAACTTCACCTGCTACTCGTTCAAGCTCATCGTCATCTTGACCAGGTCCGCCTCGAATCCCGTCACAACGTCTTCGATACGCAACTCTTCCACCAGAAACAAGTCGGCAGAGACCTAGCTTTGGTTAACCTGAGTCCTCATAGGAGCCTTGGGGAGAGAGGGGGGTTGCTCGAACCAGGTCCAAAGTCTGAATTCCTCGCTGAGCAGCTTGCCTATTGTCGGCGTTGATCGTATCTCTCATGCGACCAACAAGTCTCTTAACGTCCCCTTCCAACTCCTTGAACTTCTTCTGGCCATTTTCATCCTTATTCGGCTGGGCGTCAAGGGCTGCCCGGGCGCCCTCGAGCCACTCGGAGATCGTCTTCGACTGAAACTGCAGAGTAAAGGTCACCTGCATGCGCTCCCAGAGCTTGTCCATCTCCTAGGGTAGTACAAGTCAGTTTCCAAAGCTTGGAACCGTAATGTTTCGATTATGTTGGCCAACTATACCGCTTCTCCTCCCATGATGACTGTCATCTTCCTGCCCTTCTCGTCGATGGCAACCTGCTTCGAGGGCTTGTCCTGGCCACTCAGATGCTGAGCAGCCTCTTTGCGGGCCTCTTTGCGGAACTGTTTGGCTCCCTTGCCCCTGTTCTGCTTCTTGTTCGACGGGTGCTTCTTCTTTGCCATTGTGACTGGTGGTTGCTCGGTCGATGTGGAGGGGAGAGTCGGGCTCGTTGGTACAGCTCGACGACTGCTATCTGTACGGAGGGTAGTAAAGGGGAAGACTGATTTTTGCTTTGTTCGCTGGTGATTTCCCTGGCTGGGGATATGAAGCGCAGAGCAGAGGGTCAACTTGTGGGAAAGTTGCGGGTGGAGGCAGATTTTGTGCAAACGGTCACGCGCCCACGCAGCGCGACGTGTTGTGCCTGTCAGGCATCAATAACAACATTGGCTTCGAATTACAATGGAAAGCGACAGAGAGGAATCACGTAGCTTGAAGGTTCAAACAAGTCTCACGAAACCTTTTTGTTACATGTCTTGATCAGTTGAATTCGCATGGGCCATGGGAAGCTAGCGGACCTCTACATATGTTACAACTCTCATGGGTCTCGCATCAACCGGGACAAGCGTACCATGCCAGAGTCCAACCACACGTGAATGTTCCCATCTGCATGAGTTCTTCTGGATGTCTGATCGATTCGCATTGGCCGTTGGTGATCTTGAGGCATGCTGGGTCAACTTTGATCAAGTACCTTACAGGAAGCACAGTTAAGTCAATTTGGTGTCGACCCCACGGACCGGCCCGCTGGAAGTGTTTTCCGGTCCTATTCCCATGCCTGTGAGCCTGCTGCAACCCACTAACCTTCTACCAACCAGATTTGTGGAGTGACATCCTCGAACCTGTGGCCGTCTGCCTAATGTGGCCCACTCACTCATCGATCATGCCCTTCCCAACCTTCTCCATGTTCTGGCTGAATTCCTGCTTTATCTCGGCCTTCAGATTATTGTGAAGATCCGACACGAGAGTAGACCTGAGCTTCAGGACCTCGTCTTTAGCAACCATGGTGGCCCACGCTGGGACCTGGAAAACCATCGTGTTCTCCGAGGCTTTCTTGGGCTTATCCTCCAGGGTTTTCGCCAAGTCGTCGAGGACTTTCTCTTGTTCCTCGACAGCTCCTTCAATGTCTTCTAATAACCCTTTGACTTCGCAGCCAATAGAGTTCTTCAAGTGGCGAATGACGCAGTCCTGAATGATGGGAATAGCAGCTTGGATAGCAGATCGCATGGACTCTTCAGCCTTGGTCGCAACTATGGTCTCAATTACCTGTTGTTTCTTGTGAGCAATGCTCAAGAGGTTGTCCTAGAGCTCGGCCTTGATGATGTCTTTGAGCTCCTTGATGGCGTTCTACTTGAGAGCTTCCTTGATCTCGTTGAACAGCTCGTCTTTGATCTGACTCTCTAGCTCATTGTTCATCTCATTTCTTGTCTCTTTGATCTCGGCAACGACACTGTCCTTCACGTCCTCCATGATGTCGTACATGAGCTGCCCATCTCAAGCCTCAGCTCTTGCTTGATGTCCTGCTCGAGCTTGAACGTGATGTCGCGCTTCAGAATGCGCATGAGATCCTCTCTGAGCTCGTAGTAGATCCTGACCTTGATGTCACCCGTGAGCTTCTCGAAAAGCTCCTGGATGAGACACTGGTCAAGTGAGCGCTGGAAGTCTCCGTCGACTCTGGTCTGGAGCTCGTTCTTGAGCTCATGCATTCAATGCTCCTTGAATGCAGCGGTGTTGTCGCTAGTGAGCGCCTGGTTGAAGAGAGCCGCCTCCTTCTCCGAGCTGAAGGAACGAACAGATGAGGCGGGGTTACTCCGGGCAGAGGTGTCAGACGGGGTCAAACACTCGATAGAATCAGATGACTTGACACTCTTCAGGTTACCAAGGGCATCGTTGGGCCCTCTATAAATATACCCCAGCAGCAATCCTCGATAGTGTACTCATCTGAACTGGTGTTCTTGGCGTCCTCGATGTTGGCATTCGCGGTGTGTTCCGCTCAGGTAGCGCTGTCAGCCCGGCCGGAGGAAGAAGAGCGGTGAACGTAATGCTCAGTTACCATAAGCTCAATCGGCTCAGGATTCATTGACTGCATCATGGGGTTGTTGGCCTCGACATCGGCCTTGGTGCGCTCCTGCTTCTCAATCTCGAAATCTTCCATGGTAGCAGCGAGCTTCTTGGTGGCCTCCTCGAGACGGGCGTTCAAGGCAGCTTTCTCCTTGAGCACCTGCAAGCTCAAAGTCAGCATTTGAATATGTGGACAGTGGGGGCCATGAATCTTATTACAGATTCATTTCTGACTATTGAGGGAATGTGGGCATTCACCTCAACGATGTCGACAGTCTGGGAGTCGAGATACATCTTCGCTAGCCGGTCCACCTGCAATGATTAGATAAATGAGTCAGGATGGGAATGCAAAGAAAGTCTTACAGTTGCTCGGTGTTCGCTTGTAAGTTGGGTTGAAGTTGGTGTTGTGAGGAACACTTGAATGTGAAGATCGCAAAGGATTTGGGGCTTTTTTGCGATGTGTACGCGGATGAGTGCGTACGAAAGGGGAAGAGTGAGGCAGTGTGCTGGTGAGGAAAAACATAAAATGCAGCCGCGATGGTGCGAATTTGTTTTGACGACGCGCTGGGAAGGCGTTCTCAAGGTGCTTGAGGTGGAGACCGCGACTGAGTGAGGAAGTAGGAGCCGGATCAGAAAGTTGAGGAAGGTGCCTGCCGCTGGACTCAGATTCACCATCATTTCACCTTTATTTTGGCCCAAGAAGAGCAACAAATTAAGGTAGAAACTTTACCTTCCCTCACTTAAGACAATCAAGATGTTTGTCTCTGCCTAGGCTGAGTAGCGATTGGGACAGAAAGCAACCCAACAGCTGCCATACAAGTCTCAAGGCAAGAGCCGGCGTTTTCTCGAATACTCAAGTTCACTCATCCCGCCCTTAGCAAAGCCCCTGTACCACGACATAAACCAAACTACCGATTTCCTCGACTTCTCGGGCCAACGATTGACCAGGTGTAAATACGAAGGGCGAATGACGGATCAGCCGGATATCTTCACAACCCCCTTCGCTGTCCCGTTAGTCGCGAAGCTTTTCGCATTCTCTTGTTGTCTTGAACCCTGAGCTAACATCTTAGGCCCCTAGTGTTCTCGCCAGTCATAAGTCTCACCCAGCTCTAAGTTGGAGCACCCATTATCGTATTTTTGAGACGTTGGCCATTCCTCTCCTACTTGGTATTATCGCAGCTCGTTTCGTTCCGGGTCGTTGAGGTTACTTTTAATCGCGACCTGCATCCCGTTTCTCGGCTCATACCCAGGCCGGCATCGGAGTACTTCCTGCTTGTTTACAGCCCGGAGAATTCTTCAGCTCCTTAGTGAGCTTTGGCGATCTACGGTTGTCGAAGCGGTTCCCAGTGTCTACGCCAAGGCTGTTCGTGAGACTGATTATTACTTCTGATATCGCCACTGAAGCTGAGCTCATCCATGACCTCACCCGCAGAGTCTGCCTTTGGCCCACGACGCTGTCCTCGAACTGTCCGTCTCTACTTGGCTGGATCTCGTTTCCCTTTTCGGAACACAGTTTTCGCGGTCGTCTTCTTTTCTGACATCCTCGGGGCCTTCCTAGTTGCGAAGTTGTGATGCAGACTTTCGGAATTCCGTTGCAACCTATGTTCACTGCTGGAAATAGACACGCTTCTGTGGTGAAGGTTTTGTTCCTTGCACCAGCTTCGTGCGCTGTCAAGGTCTCTCGAGCTCTACGTGTCATTCGGCACTCATCGCGACCTTAAGAAGCTTCAGCTTATGGATGGTGATGGCCATCATTCAGGGCAGAATTCCTGTCAATGCCATTCCCAAAGTCTGAAGTTTTCCTCTTGACCTCCGGGATTCAAGCGGACTTTAGTCGACTCAAGCAAACTCTTTTTTCGTCGCCGTGAGAGCCTATAAGGGAAAGCAGAACCGTTGTTATGCGAAGGGATCTCTGCAAAGGTCCTCTTCATAACAGCGAGAAATTTGACGGACAGGGATGTTGGTAGGGGGCCACCTGCACGTTGAGCGTCACATCGACAGTGATTTAAAGCCCTTAGCCTCCCATTCTTGCTTCAGGATTATTAATTCCGAAGATCGGGAGTCTGGACTCCTGCAGGCCCCGAGAAATACTCCAGCGCTCTATTTCTATGATTTTGGAGGTCCCGCGCGCGCAGTTTTGCTGACGTGAACTTAGAGTTTGGGGGTTTATTCATGCTCGGAGTGAAAGCGCTCTTTTGACGTATTATAATTAGCGAGAACGAGAACGCAACCAAGGAGCGACTTGGCGTGGAAGTTATCCTGGAAGGTGTCTCCCTATAGAAGACAGAGTGCCCTGGTAGGGCCCACCAGTGACCGTTACTTGCTCGCCCGGGTACTTGAACCATTTGAACTGAAGGAACTGAGTCAGCGGGAAGGAGAAGCTTAAGACTGCGGTCGGGGCGTTTCCAACTTAGGTTGTTGCCAAGAACATGGGGGCTGAACATATGAAGGGGGAGAGGCCCAAAGAGCCTGGCCTTAGTTAGAACCTGGGAGATACGAGACACTTAATCGAAAACCAACGGTGAGAACCAACTTTTACTCCTGAATCAGACTCCTTCTGACGGGAACCATGTGCTCACCGTGCCGCCATAGTTTCCAAAATCGATCCTTCCATGAATCAAAACGCCGCGCTTTGTGATGCGTCGTGTCCTCGAGCGCCTCAAAGGATTCCAATCAGGCCTTACGCGCAGATTGGATTTCCGAGACGCCAGTGTTGATCCCGTTGTCGTGTTCATACTCCTCAATCCACACAATGACTCGTGCCAGGACAGACTCAATGCCCCTGAGCAACTTTGTGTATCCCGTTCCAAGTACATCGACTGTTTCGAGTGTTCGGGCTTGCGATTCCCCCTCGCGCCTTTGTTGTGTGAAGCTAAGCTTCTGTGAGACTCCATTATACAAGTCCATGAGCTCTTCTTTCTTCTTCAGTAGCGCCTGGTATTCCTCCGCAGTTTTGGTGTGTTCGGGGACGCCGCGCATCTCCAGGCTCTCGAGGGCGTGTGACATGAGTTCTGTCATGCTCGCTATGTCTTGAGCGCTCATGTTGCTAGATGCGCTGACATTCGATTGCGGATTGACATTTTCCTGATGGTGCGTCAGTGTTCCTTGCTCGACGTTCTTGCAATGGGCCTGCCGTGGGTCAACTGGAAGGAAACGTACATTCTTTGAGTTGACCATCTTCAAACACCTAGTGGTACTCGATTAAACGTACGACATTGGCGCATAAACCTCTTTCGGTCGCGAAAGGCGAAGCGGGAAATGGAAAATCGTGTGTGTCTGTTCGATTACCGTTGGCTTCCTAGAAGATAAACACAGCTTTGGAGTATGTTGGAGGTGAGAAGATGAGAACCTGGTGAGGGACAAGGCAAGCGACTTTCCCAAAGACTAGGAGAGTAAGATCAACGACCAGGTACCAAACGTGGAAGCGCTTAGCAAGGAAAGTACTCTTTGATGCTACACTCTCCCTCTTAGGCTCTTGGGGCGGTATTAAACACCCATGTCCTTTTCTCCTGTCAAATCTTTTCGGCTTCAAGGCATGTCAAAAATGAGAATAGAATGAGTAAGCATTCGAGATTCCAGGCGCGGTAAGGCTGAAGGCTTGCTCAAGCCTGCCCGGGCATAAAATTTGGATACAGGAAGGCATGTCTGTCAGGGATATGACTCAGCTGTCGCTGGTTTGAACCAGGATGCATCCCGCCAGATCAACTGCTTAATTACAAGCCATGTCCCATAATGGTGTCACATATAGCATTGTTCCGTGGTTCTGTTGGTATTCTATCGCATTTATCCTCGCGGGTTCCTCTCGAGCCCCGGTTTGCTAGTCATTACCCAATGTCGCGTCTCCCCCATCGTGAAATCGTTGCTGGGTTCTTCCGACCGAGCGTCCCATTCAAAGTTCTCATCCGCCAAAAGCCAAAGCCCGAGGGCAAAGACGCTCTCTCTCAGAGCATGCTCAACAGGGAATTGACGCGCACCATATTCTCAATGAGGGCGATTTGAACACGATCGAAAGCTGCCTGGAGGGCCTCTCCCATGTTACCGCCCCGAATGATTCTCATTTCGATCTTGAGTACCGCCTTGCGTTGGGCCTTGTAGACCGCAAGACCCTTCGTGTACTTGACACGCTTGCGGTGGCGCCACCTCTTAGCGAAGTAGGAATCACCTCCGATCTCGAGGTCGGTAATACAGTCTTCGGCCTCATCATGCGCTGCGACGAGAGCCTGGAAACAAGAAGGTTAGCATAATGACCAAAGTCAATCGGGGGTCTTTGAGTGCGGAAGTCGCTTACCTCGAGGAAGAGCTGCAGCTGCCCGAGGACCATAGGGCTCTGGTTCTTCCACGAGCGCATGTCCTCCTCCGGCTTGTAGTTGAGAAGAGGTTCCTCGGGCTCCTCAAAGGTGACGGTGCCGACTCTCTCGAATCCCTTCAAGACTTCGTCTTCGGCGATGACCTAGCGAGTAAAGGAATGATTAGTGGAGGGCCGAGGGATCTCATAGGATCTGGGCTTACGCTGCGGAATGACCCCATGATTGCGGTTCGGTATGTTGCTGTCGATGTTCTTTTTTTTTTTTTTTATGTGGCTTGAAATTCGGTGGCGGTGAAGGCAAGCTTCTCAACCGAAGAATAACTAAGCAGAGAAGGAATTTGTCTGCCTAGTAGATTGAAGCAAACATCCCACCGATGCGGTGGGCTCTCAATGGTACCTCCGCCCTCATCTGGTCGATGGGAGGCATACCCTCCAGACGGTTCTAGCGGTGAGCGCATCCGGAGCTTCTATCCGTCCAATGAGGCAATTCGTTGAGAGTTTGGACGACTGACAAGTCGCAATAAGCCGTGAGGCTGCGGCCATCATAGAAGTACACTTTCGATGTCCTTTGTCGTGCAACAAAAAGTGACAAGTAGGTCTGAGGATGTGAAGAGTGTGAAAGGGGTGAAGCTAGGAAAGATATTAGTTCCAACAATAATATGATGCAGTCTTCCTTCCTTCCTTTCTTTCAGGCTGGAAGAAGACCAAATAAATTTGTGTAGAGTGAAATATCCTGTGAGTCTCTAAGTTAGGTGAGATGCTTGATGATTTTAGTAAAAGGTAAAAAAGAACTAACAATTGTTTCGAGCAAGCCTCCCATTATGACCACTTCCCTTTGGGGCCTCAATCGCTTTGTTGAGATTATTTGTCTGACTTTTACCGTCTGGTAAATGAGATGACAAAGTGAAATTGTGGTGATGCTTCACTAGGTTGAGAAGGTAGTGAAAGGGGAAGGTACATCGGAGCTGCGGGACGGATCAACTTCTGGTCCCATTTGATCCGCAGCCTGGAACCAGGCTGGTTAACTGCCTGAGGCGGCAGGTCATTGGGTATTCATCTCGGGACCGGTCTTTCACAACAAAAAACAGCAAGCGGTCAGATCATAGACGACGGGAGTGTGAGTACTATTGTGCGAGGTGTTTCTTTCCTGCCTAAGGTACAACCACGCACCAGCTGGGCCGGTTCGTCTTAGCTTACAGCACACACTTCCAAGTGTCAGGATCTTTGTCATAGCCCGAGCCTTGGTACACATTGTGGTAAGGCCACCTGCAATGCCTCCTTCTGAACTCGACACCATTGTCACTGGTGCCATTGATATACCTGGTACCCATGATGGTGTCAGGGGCCACTCCGCCTTCAACCCATCGCACCATCGCCATGAGCACCTTTTCCTCCGGTGCCAGACTGGCAGTGCTTGCAGACTGGTGGCCAATAAATGTTGCCCCATTGCCGCTACCGCAATGAGACATGCCAGAGATACGGAAAAAGCGGTAAAATACGTCAAGGGCCTCTGAATCCATGCCCATAGTTTGTGACACATGTTCGTAGTATCGAGGAGAACTCTCGCTCGATAGAACACCATCGGCTAAATCATGCCAATGGCGAAGCTTCCCGCCGCGGTTCTGGAAACCCGATAGATTACCTTCCCAGGTGTCGATATTGAAGTGGTTGAGGCCGGAAGCGATGGTGGAGTTTTCGGGTCGTAAAGTCATGGCATTCCAATTGGAGTCATTGAAAATGGCATACCGCCACCAGTCTGACACAGGTGAGACTGCTCCGGAAAAGTAACTGTCCACCGCTCCGGTAAACTCGGATCCTAACTGCATCTTGGGATACACCAGGCTTCCAACCGCGTCCAGGACAGGTGAGTAAATACTCTTCAGCGTCTGAAGCTGTGTACTTGTAAGGCAGCCGGTACTTTGGGCCTCAATGCATAGAAGGCCGTCGGGGTTGTATTTGCAAAGATTAGGACTTCTGCAAATTGGAGGTGGCGGTGAGAGAACATACTCTATCGAACGTTGTGCGCAGAATTAAATATGAACACCTTGTAGAGAGTGCCGTAGGATGACTATGCTCTTACCAAGACGTCAGAGTGCTGTTCCATGCTTGTAACTAAGTAGCGCCGAGTGCCTGTTCGGGTATTTATCATTTAACATTACTCAACGGCTTGATCTTCTTCACAGGGGATGATGAGATTGTGCGGGCTTTAGAATCTCCAATTATGTCTTTCCACGTCCTTTGCTAGTGACTGGACTGTTTGTCACAACCTATACACCTACTTGGGGAGTCCTATTCAGGAAGACACTCGAATGAGACTAATATTTGGTGCTGTTTAGTCACAAAAGCTTTATGTTTCCAACTTCTCCCAGTTCTCTTTCTCCTTGTGTTATGACTGAGATTTTAGCACATTTTACGGTTTTGCTGAGAGGATATGACTAAGCGGTCAAATAGGTGGGGCTGTGCTGTGATGCTTGCGCACGGGGGCTGGAATGCCAAGCCTGTTCTGTTCGTCAAGGAACTTGCCCTCCGTGGTCGTATTGATGGAAATGCGCTTCCGAATGAAAGTCAACACTACTAGTACTGTCGAATCACCTACTACTCATGCATGGGGAGGCTAGTTTTTCTAGAACGCATCAAGATACAAAGACGCACTTTTCCGAATCGCGAATGCTCACTAGGATTCAGCCCCGCGCGTTCCACGGGGGAAGAGTGATTGACTTGAGTGCCACCCCACAGCGACGATTACGCCCGACCACCCTTCATGGTTCGACAAACTCGCACCTCGACGCGTCACAACGATTCGAGCGACGCTGAAAATGCGAGCCCTAAGGCTCAAGAGACTCGTCGTTCGCACAAGAAGTCTCGCAATGGATGCGCGGAATGCAAGCGCCGTCACATCCGCTGCGACGAGCGCCGGCCCTCGTGTGCCAACTGCGAAGTCGCAGAGCGCGCGTGCTTCTTCCCACCGCCAAAGGTGAGCAAGCAGAAGCGCAGACAAGAGCAACTTCAATTGCGGAGCGAGAAGCCACAAAGCCCACTGGTACGGAACGCCCGATCGCTATCACATGGCTCCAGAGCAAGCAGTCACAGCATTGTGAACAACGACACGAATGCGATGACTGAGTGCGCGCAGCTACCCTCACAGCCTCTTCATCAACAAAACAATTACTCCGAAGTCACACATGCGCCAACACAACCGTCTCATTGCTTGCCGCCAAGCCATGGAGTTGTGCCAGGCGTGATCGGCCTCGACATCAATTCTCACCAGACTCCTTCTCTCGCTTCGCCCATGTTGCTGAGCGGCAACCACGCTCCTCCATCTCTCGACTGCCATGATGCCTTTTCAATATTAGGCACACCAAACGCCCCCTCGGAGGCGATCTATACACCACAGCACATGATTCTGCTCCACCATGCAAGCTCAGTCCCAAATTTCACCGGCCCAGCCCGGAGCGCCGTCGACATTGCCGTCCGCCACGCCGTCAACTCGTCCTACCTCCTTGACGAGGTCCTCGCTTTCACAGCCTTTCACATGATCCATCTCTATCCCGGCTCAGCCGATCATCTCCAACATCTTGCCACAGAGCTCCAGAACCGCGCTCTCTCTTCCTTCACCCGTCTCACAGAGACCGTGCCCAAGGACGACAAAGCTACCGCCGTCCCTCGCTTCCTCTTCTCCGCCATCTTAGGTAGGCATGTTCTCGCCGACACCCTCGCTCACTATCGATCCGACTTCAAGTCCTTCATCGACCGCCTCGTTGAGTGTTTTAACCTTAACCGCGGCGTCACCTCCGTCACACCGCTAGCCCGGGACTACCTACAAAACACCGAGATCTCACCCTTCCTCAATATCATTCCAGAGGCTGCAAAGAAGATGGGTCCAACGGGTGACGAGTTTGGGCCTCTGAGACGCCTTCTGGATGACTCCGACCTCAGTGAAGCGAGCACAGAGGCATGTCGCGAAGTCATTGAGCTCTTGCAGTGGTGCTTTGATATCTGCCACGTCCTCGACGAAGAAGATTACCCCCAAGCCGCGTCGACGTTCTCGGTCAAGGTGCCGGTTGGATTTGTTGACATGCTGCGGAAGCATCGTCCCGAGGCCCTCATCATTCTCGCCCATTATGGCGTATTACTGCACCGCTGTCGCGGCTTTTGGCTCTTTGCCGACGCTGGCGCCTTCATCATCCGCGCTGTTGCCAGGCATTTGGGGAGTTACTGGCAAGAGGCACTCGCATGGCCGCTTGATGTGCTTGAGACGGAGGGCATTTGTGTGGCCAAGAGCCAGGAAAGATCTCGCGGTCTTACGGACGACATCGCCTCAGGCTTCGAAAATATCTTGTAAGAATAAAGAAAGAGGTTTGATATAATCCTCAAAGAGATTATTCAAATAGATATACACGGCATAAAGAACACAAATGCACCCTTTGACTCATAAAGCACAAGCCCGATAATTGCTGACCGTACTTTAAGACAACTTGACTAGATAGCTCCCAAAGCTGTATTTGTACTGGAGGGACAACTACTACCATATCCCTCGCCAGCTTCGAATCTCACTCAATCTCCGGGTGTCCGGCAGAATGGGGCTACGGGCCAGTCGTTGTAGTTCTCGTCCGGAGTCCGATATGGCCCATAGAAGACTTTGTTGCCCCGGTTATTCTCTGCAAATGCAATACTATGTCTGATCCGGTTGACGATATCCTGGCTAGTAATTAGCAAGTGTGGCTCAATTAAGACAGACAATCTCACCGGGTTGTAGATGAAAGGTCTTCCAAATGTGATAAGGTCCAATTTCCGTTCCTTCATCAGACTATCGGCCTCCTCCGGTGTGTAATCATGATTCGCCATCAGCAGCGAAGCACTACCAGGAAACTTGACGAGACTTATAAAGTCAAGAACGGGATCGTAGCCTCTGAGGAGAACATATCCTTCAGGCCGATCATCGATTCCAAAGAAATCGCCTATGCCGGCACTCGTATCAGCCCCTCTGCGAGACAGGTTGATGATCCCAACCTTGCGGCGGATGAGTTCCTTGATCAGGTAGGTGTAAGTTTCCTTCTATTCAAAAGTGATAACTGAGTCATTATAGAAGTCAGTGGGGTTTAACTTGACGCAAACAAATTCTAGGCCGTCAAAGATCGTAGCTAGGGTCTCAGCGAGTTCGATTACGAAGCGGCATCTGTTCTCGACTGAGCCGCCGTTAGCATCAGTCCTCCTGTTGACGCGGCTATTCATCTCAGTTAACTTTGTCCATGAATGAGGGTAATTCGAGGTTTTCACCTGTTGAGAAACTGATGAGGCAAGTATCCGCTATTGTTGTTCAGCTTGAAGTCCAAGTCTCGTCACCTTCTCACGATGCGTTGAGCACATACCCTTGAGCAAGCAACTCAACACCGTCGAACCCAGCCTGTTTTGCCAAAAGACAAGAACGTCGATATATCTCGATCACGTCTTTCTGTTCTTGAATGGCAACAACGTTGTGTGTGTCCCTGCAATGTGACCCCATCAGCATCGATCAGAATGCGTGTACTCGCCGTTCATTTCACTTACAGGCTTCCCCGATAAGTCTCGATACTTCCCAGCATTGGCTTTGACGGCAGAAGGAGCCAGAACAACACCACCATGCTTCTTCATGATTGGCATCTCGTTATGCTGGCACCGGCCTGCATGCCATGCTTGGAAAAAGATCTTGCCCCCCACCTCATGTACGGCATCAGTGGCCACTGGCCATGCTTGAGCGTGTTCGGATGTAATCATGAAGGGGACGAAACTCCAATCGCACCCGGTCCAATCGACAAATATGCCTTCGACTACGATGTGACCGGCGCCATCTCTAGCCCTGTCTACATAGTGCTTAACCTGCGCCGGGCCCGGTTTGCCATCGTCGATACACCGGTTTCGAGTCATTGAGCCCATCACCACGCGGTTCCGGAGGGAAGCTTTCCGCCAACTGTGATCGGGTCCAGGAGAGTTGACATGATGGCGGGTGAACAAGGTGCCTGATACTTGGATTGTAGGTGATATGAGCATGAAGTTTGAAGCAACATGAGAAGAACCGAAATGGGTTGGCCAGACACTTATTATCCTCGAGAAACCCGGTAGTATATCAACTCACCTTCCAGTGGTGTTGGAGCACGATGAGTCTCGCACTCTCGGAACGAAACGTCAAAAACAGGCCATAATAAGCCTGTTCTCGACTTCTCAGGCGCATCTATCCATCGCGGCTACATGAGCTACGCTGGAGAGTGGACTGGCATCCGCTTGTCAGATGAGTTGACCTATTATATAACTAGGACTCCGATCCCTGTATCAACTCACACCGGAGCGGGGCCGGGAGGGCTAAGACATCAGCCAATTAGCCCCGTCAAAGTCCGCGCTTGTTGTCCGGCTTGCTTATAAACCAGACTTTGTCCTCTTCAACGTTACGTTGTTCCGTTCTTTTGTTATTGAAACTTGAATCTCTCTTAGTCAACCATTACGCCAATTAGAAATGAAAGCTCTAAGAGCATGCCGTCAATGTCGCCAGTCCAAGCGCAAATGCGCTCGAAAAGACCCCGGCGAAGGGTGTGAGCCATGCCGCAAGCGATGTCTTCAGTGCAGCGCTGCCACTTCAACCCCAGCGCAGATCTTCGAGCCTCAGCCGGAGGCTACCAAAGTGCAAAGCACACAAGACCCGCCCAATGCGATCATATCAGAAGATGCAGTCCGAGAACTCGTTGAACACTATCTCACCAGAATCCACGGCGGATGCCATAGCATTTTCCACCCAGCGACCCTTCGAGCCCAAGTTTCCAGTAAGACATTGAATCCATTGTTGCTACATGCAATATGCGCAATAGGCTCCAAATTCTCCAGTCAGGCGGTGCTCCGAGAAAAGGAGGGGCAGCTGGCGGCAGAGGCGAAGCGCTTACTGCACGCGGACCTGGAGAATATTTGCATAGAGAACGTGCAAACTTGTATCCTTCTGGCGATGTTGAGCTCTGGAAACTGCCAGCCTTCATCTGAGGCCCTGTATGTTGGTGATTTGCTGCCCATCTGTGATTCCCTCGCAGGCATTCGTAATGACGAACCATTTTGACGAGCGAGCGTGCGGCCACAAGGCATCGCTATCAGCATGATCGGAAAACTAAAGATTGAGCCGTCACGGTGTACCTCTAGCACCTCCCATACGATCGACGAAACCTCAAGAAGGGTTTGGTGGTCCCTGTACATCGCAGAACGGTGGTGTTCTTCCGGCCTGGGCATCCGCTGCAGGTTGGACGACGCCGATGATCCTTGCGAGAGCATCCCGCCCATGGATGAGCATGCATACCACGCCCTTCTACCGGAGGACCAGGATGCCGTCTCTACGTGCAGTCGGATACCTGGTATTTGGGCGTACATGCTTCAACTCGTAAGTTGCTTTGCTCTGATCCAGGATCTCAACCGTCGGATCGCCAAAGGGCAACTTGCTGCACCCGAAATCGAACTGCGTGTAGCAGAGCTCGAAGGTCAATTAGAATCCTGGCAGATTAGCCTCCCTTACGAACTAAGAATGAATTTGGAGAATCTTGGCGTCCATCTACAAAAGAATGTGGTCAGGCAGTTTCTCGCCTTGCATCTGACATACCATCACTTCTCTACACTTCTGTACTTTCATTTCCTCGAGGGCTATCACGTGGGCACCATTCTTGCGCTGCAAAAGAATTACATCAAGCAGTGCAAGCAACATGCATCGTCATTCAGCAACCTTCTCCGCCTCTCTCGCCAGATGAGCGGCTCCGCAGTCGAGTACCCGACCATTGGGCACATGACTGCCGTATCGTCGTCGGTACTCGTCCATACTCTTCTCTTTGGTGACCTCCAAGAACTACCAGACGCGCGTGAGAAGTTGGATTCAGACTTTGACTCATTGATGCAACTTCGGCGGTATTGGCCAGCGACCGATGTAATGGTAAGGCTTTCCCGAATCTCGATCGACCCCATACCGGAGTACTTCGGCCATGTCCTGATCTCGTCGTTACAGATCTATAGACTTAAGTTCTTTCAAAGTATCTGTCTGTTTACTCTGGAGTCTTACAAGCTCGATGGTTGGATGGTGAGGTTTCTGCTGGAACATTCTCGCGCGCTCGAGCGGAGGGAGTTGAAGGTTGTGCCCCCCGATTTGCGTCTAGATGGTTCGAACATGTCGCCACGGACCGAGGAGCTGACGAAAGCGGGAAGGTATACAGACTTTTCGTCACTGCGTAAGACCTGAACTACTAGTACATGGGTCAGGCAGGCGAAGCATTCACTGGAAGATGATCTAGAGTGGCTTGTATTTAGGTGGCAAAGCCTATATCTCGACATGGGAATCCAAACCAAGGTTGTTTTCACACCTCTTTGAGAAACTTATCTCCAAAGCCAGCGTTTCCGGCATCAACCTACTGGAAATCAGCCTTGTTCGCCTCCAAGAACTCCTTCCAAGTAACCGCCTTCAGTCCCACGCTCGCCAGAAGCTCCCCACTCTCTTTCAAGTCCTTGCCAGCATAGTAACCGGGCTCGTCGATGAAGAGGTGGTTCTCGAGCATCTCGTCGGCCATGGCGGCCATCGGGCCAGCAAAGAAAGTTTTGTACGTCGCAGCGTCAACGGGCACGAAACGGGCCGTCTTGCCAGTGACTTGCTCAAACTCGGCAATGATTCGCGTAGGCGTGTAGTAGTCCTCAGCTGCCAGGATCTGCTTGCCAAGGACGCTGCTCTCGTTTCGGATGGCTGCGACGACGTACTTGCCTGCGAGAAGCATTCGTCAGCATCCAATCAGGAAAAGTGGTTTCTGTGCTTAGACAAGGGCAAAACATCAATGGAGTAACTTACCAATATCGGACTCGGTATCAATGAGAGGGAACTTGGCCTTGTCGCTGACGGGATACGCCAGGTTGTATACCCCGTCCTCGCCCTTGCGAATCATCTGAAGAGCGTTGAAGTTGTTCATGAAGTAACCCGGCAGGACAAAGGAGCTGGCGATACCCTTGGTGCGGATGTAGCGCTCAACCACGGCCTTGTCATCAAAGTGGACGACGTGCTTGAGGCGACCATTGGTGGTCTCCGTAACGTGCAGCAGAGACGAGTAGATGAGATGCTTTACGCCAGCCTCGGCCGCAACGTCTGCTACGTTCTTGCCGTGGAGCTGCTCCTCGCTGGCACCGCCCATGAAGTTGGGCGTAGTGACGAAGAAGACGGTGTGGGAGCCCTTGATCGCCTCGGAAAGGGATATCTTTGAGCTCATGTCGGCCTTTTCAATGTCAGCTATTTGTATATCGCGAAGGCATGTCAAGAGGAACGGAGGGTGACCATACAGAAACGACTTCGACGCCCTTGCTGGCTAAAGATTGAGCTGCGGGCTTTGAGACATCCCGAGTGATGCCTCGAATTTTGAACTCCTTTGATATAACGGCGTCAGCGAGGGCCGCTCTCACGACGGAGCCGCCCTGGTTGCCTGTGGCTCCGAATATGGTGAAGATTTTGGACATTTTGAGATAGAAACTGGGTTCGGCGGTGATGCGTCTTTGGAATGATGGGAACAGTCTGTTGGATGTAAGTAGGAAGCTAAGAATGCACAACGAATGTAGCTTGACTTTATAAGTCGAATATTCGGTGACATTAGGTACGTATCTAATTATTCCCACACGATTTTCATGACTTTGAAAGGTCTACGCAAGCGGTGCATGAATCAAGCATTTGCATGTTGGATGGCCCATAGTGTGGGCCTTTGGAGGCGGCATTCCCGACTGTCGGTGTCTGCCTAGCAAATGTGTTCCTTAGGTACCGGACATTGCCTTCTCGGCTAGACCCTCGCCAAACCGCCTGATATGGTAAGCAAGTATAGTTGTTGTGGAGTTCAGAGACGCGTTCGGGGCGATGATTAGAGTTGCTCTAGCTTAGACAACATTCAATGGGAGTCGCTCTTTATCGGAGACCGGTGTCACGTGTGAAAGCAAGCCCTGTTTTTTACTCCTTCACAAAAGGCGCCCGAACGCTAATCGACGTCGTTCTCCTGTTGCTTCCTATCCAAGAAAGAAAACTGGATACATTTGGGGGAATGGACTCTGACTGAGACCGTCAACTTGCCTACTGGTAAGGCTCTAATAGATCTTGTGTATTACACAGATTTGGCGGCTACGACTCTTACACCCACGTAAAAGTGTTGAATAGTGTGAAGCACCCGGAAAACCAGAAAAAAAGAAGACAAAACATGGACCAATAGAGAGTTGGAGGCCGGAATCCTGGAAGGAACAGGAGCATAGCTGTCCCAGCCAGCCCCTAGGCCACATGGCCCGGTACTTATTGTTGAGGATTGAGCATGATCCACTCCTCATAACGGTCGGGGGCGGTGACCAGAGAGGCTCTACCTCAACCCAGTGGGACTGCGCCATGAGGCATCGTAAGAACCCGAGTTAGTGAATCACCCTCTCACCAGTGTGTACCTACCGCCTCAGCAATCCACCCTCTTTTGGCCTGTGCAGACATTACATTGTTAATGGCAGAATTTCAATCTTTCTGCAAGGTTGAGAAGCAGTTTCTGTAAGCTTTCTTCTTGGGTAGATTAGTTCGTGCCATTGAGAATTCTGGTTGAGGTAGTAGACACGCATGCTTGATACCTACTGTAGGGCCTGGCCATCATCACAAAGGTAATCGCCAACGGAACGGTTGCTTGAAAATCATGTGCCTATTCTCCATTGTACTTTAGACTTCTCCTCGATTATTAATATTACACAAGCCCCGCCACCCTATTCACTCATGACTTCGATTTCCACCCAAGACACACTCAATTCTGAACAACCTCCCCAACTCGTGCCATCATGACCGAATGCCACTCGCATACTCACTCTCCGTCTTCAACCAAGTCTCAAAGTCCTTCAGCGCAGGATGCTCCTTTCTCAAAGCCGCAATATCAACATCATATCCAACGTCATAAAACCACTTGAACATGTACCCAAAGTCCTTGACCATGGCCATGAAAAGCCAGCACAAGATCCTATACGTCCCAGGCAGCTCCTTCCCCGTGTTCTTCTTGAACACCGCAGCAAACTGCTCAATCGTCAAGTCATCGCCAGCAAGTGAGATCCCACGGCCCTTGTAGCTCTCCGGATGGAGGAACGCCTCTGCACCGAAGTATCCGATATCGCTAACGGCAATGAGCTGCAGCGGCTTCTCCTTGACCGCCATCCGCCACGACGTGACAAACACTTTCCCAAAGAAATTGTCCATGAGGTTCTCCATGAAAGCCACTGGCCGGAGGACGACCCACTCCATGTCGGTGCCCTTGGACTTGTTGAAGAGGTGCTGCTCGATCTCGTGCTTGTGGGCGAAGTGAGGCACGTTAGTCGCGTTTTCTGCGCCGTGTCGCTCGACGGAGGTGTAGACGAAGAACTTGACGCCGGCTTTGAGGGATGCGTCGACGAGGGCTTTGCCTTGGCCTAGTTCGCCGCCTCCGCCTTGGCCAAAGCCCATGGGCACCTACAAGACACGTCATCAGCTATTTTTTGTCACTGAAAATTGGTAGGCCAATGAGAGTGTAACGGCATAACTGAACGCTGAAGACTCCCCAGATCGGAGACGTGGCAACACCCTGCGCGGTCTTGAACAGCGCTGCCGGGTCCGCCAAATTTCCCTGCACAAGGTGAATACTGGACGACTTCTTAAGAAGACGCTGGGCGGACCCCGAGGTCGCGTCGCGGGTGACGGCGAGGATCTCAAAGTCGGCATTCTGTTCGACGAGGCGGTTGATGACTGCGCCGCCCTGCTTTCCAGTCGCGCCGCAAACCAGAATTGATCGTGCCATTGTCAATGTTGTGTCTGATCAAGGTAGTGTAGATGATGAAGTGTTGAGTCAGAAGTAATTGATACACACACAGAATTCACTCTCCGAAATTCAAGATATCAGCTCATGTCAAATACATACAATCTCCACGATGCAGCGGAGTTTCACCATCGCGGTGACGCGCGCGACAGGAAAGTCCGCGACTAAGATAGCTGTCTAGCTAAGGGGGTTCAGAGTGGTGACGCTTGCGGGCATGCAGCATTGGAAAGCCACCGTAGAAAGATGACCAATCCTGCGGCGCATATTGCGCCGATAAGGCCCCAACCGGTGCCGAGACCCCCCCTTGGCTGGCGTGATGTACTGTGGGCCTCGCCCTCCGACGAAGGCCGAGTCGGAGCGCGAAGGTGGGTCCCTGAAACGGCCCGAAGCGGGGAGAAGGGTGTCCGGCTTACGAGAACGTTGATGTCCAAGCATTTGTCTCCTCTCGGGTCACCTCGTTTCCACAGCAGTAGCTTGGTTTCCATTATTGATGTCAACGGTAATCATGAATGGGACCTGAAAAGCGACAGCATTGAAAGGCGGGCCCCAATAAAGGATTTAGGTGTGGGTATTGTGTTCTCCGACGAGATCGTTCATCTTCAACTTCTCTTTCAACCAAAGCCTTCGCTCTTTTGAGACATTCAGAACTTCGATATCTATCTACATTGTTCAAAATCCAGACGTTCGTCATGGATCTCAGTGGTCGGTTGCCCGTGGTCCAGGACTCAGCAATCGAGATCCAATTTACACGGCCAGCAGAGGCCAAGTCCCGCCCGCGCCGGCCCCCGAACGGGCGGAATAAGATCCCAATTTCGGCGCCACCAGCATCCTTCAAACCACAGACTGACATCACCAACTATGAGTTACCCGGATCCGAGGGGTCCCTCTCTTTCAAGAAACGAGAAACCATAACAAGGACCGGCACGCATGAACAATTGGGTATAGCTTCGTCGGGCTGATTTCTCATTCGCTCCTCGAGCCAAACTCAGGCCGTATTTGAGTTCTTCTTGCAAAGTTGGAGTTGCCATTAACGTTTGCCCATCCCTCTTGGCAAACATCAGCCCAAAAGCGAAAACAAAACAAACCCGCGACTATGAATAGAATTTCGTTTGATGTCTCAGCAAGCAAAACTCTGCAAGATTTGCACAGAAGCGAGGTTTCCTGCGTGGACGGCTAGAACAGGAAATCATGCCCGCTACTCTCATCTCCTGAAGTTGTCCGCAATGGCACATCACATGCTCACCTCCCAACATCGCACCCGGAGCGCGATGTAACCCAACAGAAGAGATGTCACAGAGAGAAATGACAAGCCACAAGCTACAGGTGGTAGTAATAGGCGGCGGCATGGCAGGCCTCGCCGCCGCTGCCGTCCTCCGCCAGAAACACGATGTCACAGTCTACGACCGCGACGATACCGCCTCCGCACCGGAGCGCGGCGCCGGCATCGGCCTAGGTCCCAACGGTACAAAGATGCTGAAAAAGGCCTTCCAGTTCAGCCCCTATAACGTCAAGGCCACCGTGTGCGCCGGCTCCAGGACGTACGATAAACAGGGGAATCTGTTAAGGGAGATGACGGGCGTGTCGGAGCCGTTTGGGAGCGAGTGGCTGCTGATGCACCGCGGTGATCTGCGGGACGAGCTGTTGAGGCTTGCGACGGGGGACGCGGCCAAGTTGGGGATTTCAGGCCCGCCGGCGAGGGTTGTGGAGGGGGTTCAGGTTGTTGGTGTTGACGTTGAGGCTGGGAAAGTGAAGTTGAAGGATGGGGAGGTGGTTTTTGCTGATGTGATTGTTGGTAAGACTATACATGCATCTGGTGTTGTATTAAGCCTCCCGAGATTGACGAACATCTCAGGTGCAGACGGCATCCATTCCCTCGTCCGACAGGCTGTCGTCGACGGTCCATCGCACATGGTGTCACCAGGGGCCTCACTCTATCGCTTCACTTTCCCTCTCGAGAAGGCGAGGGATATCTTGGGGGGATACCCGGCAGCGATAGACCCCTCCGACAGCGGATTCCTCAACATGATGACGGCCGACGACGAGACGCACCGCAACATTATCTTTTACCCCTGCCGGGACATGACGCTGCTCAACGTCGTAGACAGGATCCCCGACGCCATGCTGTCTGTGGAGAGCATCACTTCCTGGAACGCAGAGGGGAGCGCGGAGGAGATGCTGGATCACTTTTTCGACTTTGCGCCGTGGATGCTGGAGATTATGAAGTGAGTCTCACCCCCTTCACCTGCCGACAACCATCACATACACGAGTAAGCATAGAGGACTCGCTCACACACGAGAAAACATAATCAAGAAACGCCCAAGACATCCACCTCTACAAAGTCAAAGACGCAGATCCGCTACCGACCTACACCCGCGGCCGCGCCGTCCTCGTCGGCGACGCGGCGCACCCGATGACGCCGTTCCAAGGCCAGGGCGCGACGCAGGCCATCGAGGACGCCGAGGGGTTGCGACTGCTCCTCCACGATGGCGTCAACGCCGATAACCCCGAGAGCATCGTGCTGGCGCTGCGGACGTGGGACTCGGTGCGCAGGCCGCGCGCGTCGCAGGTGCAGCAGAACTCGAGGCACGTGACGGATATGTCGGCCCAGGCGCAGCTGGATCGGATGAGGTTGAATTGGACGTATAACGGGATCCACGCAGCGTTGAGGAATCGGTAGGACGTATCCGTGTTTGTGAGCCGTAGACAGGAGGCTACGATAGGAGGAAAAGGATTGGGTGCACCCTCGATATGGGTTGGGTGAGTTGAGCTGTGGACTATCTACCTTACATAATGGACTGTTTGGTCAAAGTGGCGAAGGGAGCCGACGAAGTTGAGAGCAAACGGCTGGATCCGCGATAGCTCAGGGTCGTAGGCGACTGCAGATCCTGTCAGGGGCTAATCTGTCTGATATCCCCACCCGCAAGGTACATCATCAACATTGATGAATCATCGACCTAGCCTAATGCATCATTGGGGAGTTCCTGCGTTGGAACGCAAAGGGCAATTGTGCCTGGTGCCACAGAACGAGCATTGAGACCGTCTGATGCTAGCAGTGAGATGAACGCACCTACCTGTACTCCGTACCGTACCTCAGAAAGGGGCCCCGGAAAGGTGCATCATCTACATCATCGCTCGTCATAACCGAGCACCTCGAAAACGCCATGTCGCGCCATAGTCATATAACATCGTACATCCACGTTGCCATCCAAGGGAAGCGAAACATAGCATTTGACATACTATTTGAACAACTCTCGTGACTACAAACACTATAAAGCCTTTAAAAGTTGTCAACAGTGTCGTATCCACGTCGATAACCGTCCCCTGTAAACACAACCCAACATAACATATCATCAGAACACAACCAATTATGTCGTCATCAAGAGCCCTCCGCCTTCAATCGGCCCTCCGAAACCCCACCTTCCGTTCCTCCGCACAAATCGCACCGCGCCGCGGTTACGCCGTGAAGGAGCCCCCAGCACCAAACCCCATCAACCCCTCCGGTTCAGCACCCCCCCGTCCGGCACCGTCTCCATCAAACCCCAAAGTTGGAACCAAGCCAGATGAAATCACAAACAGGTAAGCATCCCCCCCTCACATCTGCTCTAAACACATTCAGCACCTCTTGCCCTAAGCATTCTTTCACTTCAAATCACTAACTTACTTGATTCCACAGGAGCGCACTTTACATTATTCTCGGCGTCGCCGCAACCCTAGGCGGCACCTTCGCCTTCCTCACCGGCGCCCCAGACCGCGCAGCAGGCGTCGCGGATGCCGTCACACGCGGCGGTGGAGTTTCCATCACACCTGGCCTCGGCCCTAAACCCTCGAGCGAGCGGAATCTGGAGAATACGACGGGGCGGGATGCGAATCGGCAGACGGGATTGGCGGGGTTGAAGAGCAAGCAGACGGATCCGCACCAGTTGCAGGCGAGTAACTGATCTCGTGTATCGCCTAGTTGGATTGCTAGATTATTGTGTGGGAAACTACCTACAGCTGTACGCTTGGAAGAGTAGCAAAGGAAGTCAATTTCTGGACAGCACATGGTGTACCGAGGCTACATGGAATACGTGAATACGCATCCAATCAATCCATCTCTGTCCCGCGTGTAACTCTGTGCTCCCCGGATTCATATATGCAGTTGCATGGGGACTTCGCAAGCATTTTGCAGGGTTAATCACTGCGAAGTTATTGCGGTATTTGGTACCTGCGTCTCCCCAATAAGGATCTTCTCTGTACGTCTGATACTTCTACTTACCCCATTGCCATTTACCAACCACCAAACCCTGTCTATGACCTTCCCAACCTCCGCACCGGAGATATGTTGCCCGCCTGTCAGCATTATAGAATCCTACGTAGCGCGATGCGCGGGATGCGGCAATGCGGTAGCGTTGAATTCGGGGAGTATCAACATCCCGCCTTACAGCACTGCGTCCATAAAGGATAGGTTCGGATTTGCACTTGCTGCATGCTGCGTGTGTACACACACCTGCACATACATGTTTCCCGTTGATATAGCATTGCATATAATAAGTACAGTCCAATCGCTTTCCTTCCTATGTTGTCGTCGTATGCTCCGTCGTTTTCGGTATCGGATTCTCTTTGCCATGCTGGCGGAGGTGCGATGCTTCATGCTAAGAGGCATTCTCACTTCCATCACCTTGGATGTTACTTGTCAAAAGTCCGCCAGACCATGAGTTAGAAACGTGTATATAATCTCAATCAAATGTGCTCATGAATACCTTGATCTACTTAGTTCTCAATCCCGTGAAAAGTATCATCAGCATCAATATACCAATCCTATTCACACACAAAAAAAGAAAACACCCACCAAGAATCTCACAACCACATTTCCCACTAACCAACAATGTCCACAGACTACACCTCAAAGACAGTCCTCGTCACAGGCGCAGCCTCAGGCCTAGGCCTCTCTCTAACCCGCCACTTCCTCGCCGCCAACGCAAACGTCCTAGCCCTCGACATCTCCGACGCCGCCCTCGCCTCCCTTCCCTCCAAATTCGACGATGACCACAGTCCGGACCTCCGCGCCCGCCTGCACCCCGTAAAAGCAGACATCACCGAACCGGCCTCCGTCGCCGCTGCAATCTCCTCTTGGGTCGACGGCGGCGATGGCGGCCGTAGACTCGACGTCCTCGTCAACAACGCCGGCATCTCGGACCTCATGCACCCCACCGGCGAGTGTCCGATGGCCATGTGGGACCGCCAGATCCTTGTCAACATGACGGGCAGTTTTGTCACCTCGCAGCATGCTATTCAGCAGTTTCTAAAACAGGAGCTTGTTGATGGGCAGAGGGGGGTTATTTTGAATGTTATTAGTGCGGCGGGAGTTCACGGCGCGAGAGCAGGTAGGCGGACCCCTTCTCATCTCAGTTCATCTTACTGTCACTACCTTGATCACAAGAGGACGGGGTGACGGATATGACATGAACCAAGAGAGAGAAGAAACCTATTTTTCGATTCAATGCTCAGCTAACCACCAAAAACCACAGGCGTCGCCTACACAGCCTCCAAACACGGCACAGTCGGCCTGACACGAAGCACAGCAGCCTTTTACGGTCCAAGAGGCATCCGGTGCCTAGCCATCATGCCCGGCCCAATGATGACAAACATGGCCAGGGACGAGGAACACATTAAAGAGTTCCATCCCGTGGGCCTCGCTATGGGTAAGACACTCATCTTCTTGCAAATTGCCCACCTTCATGTGGACCTATGGCTGACAATGTCAATTAGTGGTGTCGACATTCAACACCTGCCAAGGTGACCCGGCAAAGGGTGGCTGGGATTTAGGATGGTCGCCGCTGGATCAGGTGTCCAAGACAGTGGTGAGCCTGTGTTCTGGCGGGATGAACACCATTAATGGCGCGCTTGTGCCGACCGATATGGGCTGGACATCGCTCTGAGCATGGAGGTGTAGTATAACACTTGGCGGTTGGCTTTAACTTGTCTTGGCAAGCTTGCCCAAACGTCACAAGCTGGAGGGGAGAGCTGTCGCATCCACATAGCATAGTGTTTGAAACCAATTGAATTGTGCCAAAGAAAAATTATTACTAAGGGACCGCATCATTAACCTTCAACTGTCTGTTGACCCAAACTGAATTCTCCGTCCGGGTATAAGCCTTTTCGTTTGCCGTCAACTCGTCATTTGATCCACGTCTGTCACAAAGGAAAAGAATAAAATTCCACGCTCTAGTATCCGCTGACGTGAGCAGGGGTAGAAAGAGTGTTGACGGTGCCGTTAAGACCGCCGTTGGGGTGAGCGTCGTAGCCGGAAGCAGGGTAGCCAGAGGTGAGGTTGGTGTTCAAGTCACCGCCGTTGACCTGGCCAGGGGCGTGAGGGGCATACACGCCCTGCTGGTTAGGAAGGCCGTGCTTCTTGCGCTCGATGCGAGGCGCATCGGGGATGTCGGTAGACTTGCTGGCCTTGCCGATGGCGAAGACCGGGCTCTCCCAGCGCTCACCCTTGCGAGCCAATTCCTTGTACTCGGTGGCCTTGGAGCTGATACCTCCAGGAAGGTGAATGTCGGGGAAGATGGAGTCCTCCTTGGTGATGGCGTAGTTGACTTTCTTGTCGGCGGTGACTTCGTCTGCCTTCTGCTTCGCCTGGAGAGCACGCTTCTGCAGGGCGGTAGCATAACGGTTGTAGATGTTGGGAGTGTTCTCGGGGTTGGAGCGAGCCTCGTCGAGAGCACGGTCGGCTTCCTGCTTGATCTGGTAGAGAATGCTGTCCAGTTGAGTGGCCTGATCCTTGATGGCCTTCTCGACAGCCTTCTGGAGAGCAGGGCGGAGGACCTTGAGCATAATTGGCTTGAAGAGACCGAACAGAAGCTTGTGCTTAGATTGCTTGAGCTTGATGCTCATGTGCTTGATGTCAACGTCAACCTTGTCAACCTTGAAGAAGTTCTGTCTGTCTGTCTTGTCGGCGGAAGAAAGCTTCATCTTGAAGGAGAACCCATCACCAGCGAGAAGAATGTCGGCAACACCGGTGTCGGTGATCGAAGGGAAGCCTTGCTTGCGCTTGACGTGGTAGCTGACATCGCGAAGATCAAGCTGGACACCAGCAACCTTCACCTCAAATGATTGCTTGTGCTTATTGGCGATCTTCTTGCGTCCCCAGAGGAAGTAGTTCTCGCTGTTAATCTCGAGAACGTTGGGCATGAAGTTGTCGGACTCCAAGACAAGGTTCTCGATGACAGCATCGAACTGAGGATCGCTGTACTCGATACGAGGAACCGGGAGGTAAGCGACGTTCTCGAAGATGCCCGGAATGATAACCTCGGAGAGATCCTTGAGCAAGTGAGGCTTGAAGGTGGGCTTGCCATTCTCATCATTGCCGAGATCGGTGAAGAGCTTCTGAACGGCCAAGCCGAAGCGCTTGTTCTGAGGATCCTGGTCAAACTGGTCGATCAAGAACTTGACCTCGTCAAAGACACGGTCGGTATGAGCGCGGTATTTCTCGCGAAGCAAGTAGCGACCGTGGTCATACAGGTGGTTCCACTCCTGGTTCGAGTCCTCGTCCAGGATGTATCCCTGCTCCAGAAGGCAGCGGCGGACATAGCGGTCCATAGCCTTGAACCAGTCCTTCAGCTCGCGATCATTGTCAGCATCGCGGTAAATTTGGTTGATCGACTCGAAGAAATCCTTGGTAGAGGTGCCGTTGGCAAAGCGCTCGATAAGCGTCTTGAGATCAGACTCGGCCTGGGCAAGACCGGCACGAGTATCCTTGACGGTGCCGGACCCGCCCTGGGCAAGAGTGCGGGAGTGGCCGGCGTACTCCTCGGCGAGGTTGAGCAGAGTCTCAATGGCTTGGGAGTAGTCGGGGTGCTGCTGGCATTCAAGCACCATCTTCTTCAGGCGCCATATAGTCTGGTCCTTGCGTTCTTGGGGCATCTTCTTGTTGAAGTACTCCTTGGACCGACGGAGATACTCCTCCTTGCGCTGGCGCGCCTGCTCCTTGGTCTCGCCATCAACGTTCTCGTTATACTTCTTCTGGATGACATCTCGGGCAGCGTTGATGCCACCCTGGGCGTTGACACCTGAATTGGTGCCCTGCTGCTGATCACGAGCGGCAGTCGCGGCCAAATCCTGAGGGTTCTGCGACCCGTTGGGGTGGGCAGCCTGAGTACCAGCAGCGAGGGCTTCCCGAGCATCATCAGCAGGAGAGCCCTTGTAGACACCCTGAGCCTGCTTCTTGAAGTTCTCCTTGGAGAAGTCGGGAGCGTCGTGCCAAGTGTTGTCATCGGCGGGGCGGTCGATGTCCTGGAGGGCTTCGCCTGAGGGGCGAACACGCTGAGCAGCGTTGGTAGCGGCATCACCAGCCATGTCGCGGAGAAGGACGGTAGCATCCTTGACTGAAATGGTGTTAGATTGTAGCCCAATGAGATGGTATCATAATTTGACATACGAAGTTTGCGGAACTGTCCGTTGGTGATGAGCAGAGTTCCAAGGGTCCGGAGACCCTCTAAGGCCTTATCGCCATGCTGCTGAGCAGCCTCCTTGTTGATGGGAGCGCCAGGAACATCGACGGCCTTGGGGTCGAATTGCTCAGTCTGCCAGATGAAATCTTGGAGCAAGTTGCCTTGGTTCTTCGACAACAAAAGGTTCTTGGCTTGAATGACAACCTCGCGCGCATCGGCAATCAGTGCGCGGCCTTCGGGAGAAAGCTTCTCAGGAGGGTTTGAAAGAGCCTTGGATGCGAGGAAGCTATTCAAGGCGACATCGATTTGGTCATTCTGTTGCGAGGACCACGTCAGTATCACGCAAAAATGTAGGGTTGCGGGTCAGGGATCAGCCCAGCGGGGACCGCGTGGGCCCTTGCCGCCATGCCGGCATCGACGTACCGAAGGAACCTTGCCAGCCTGGAAAGCGGAGAGGATGCCGTAGAGCTGGAGCTTGCGGTTGACATCGGCCTCCTTCTGCTTGAGGTCCGTCGGTTTGTTGACGTTTGCTGACATGATGGGGTATCGTAACTATCGCGCAATGAAACTGCTTGTTGATTTCTGTTCTTGAGTGCGTGGTTGAGAGGAGGGTAATTATCGGTAGTGGCGCACAGGAACAAAAAGGAATTTCGTGGTATTGGGTATTTCGGGGGGTATCACAGGGAAATTGGGTATAATGAGAATCGCCAAGATGGTGTTCCTGTTCAAAAAGGGTGAAACAGGAAAAGGTATCGTATCGATGAGGAAGAAGAAGAAGAGGTCTGCAAGAAAGGGGAACTGTAGGCGAGGAGGTGTTTATACCTTCTTTCTGGCGTCGTGTCCAGGGGATAGAACCTGGAAGAAAGAAAAAAAAAAGCCTGCGTCAGAATGAAACTGGGCCAACGATTATTTGGAAGGGAGGCGGCAAAGCAACGCGCGTGGCAGGCGTTCGTCCACCTCACTACGGTGATTTAGCCAGCAGGAGGCGGGCCCGGTACTTTCCAATTAGGAGAAGGCAGGTGCAGTGGGAGCTTGGTCCTTCCAGCCCAGTTCATAATGGTTCCTTCCTCCCCTTGGATTAGCTGTGTGTCTACGGATACCACTCGCTGGTAAGGTACCTGCCTACCTACCCTGCGTGCCTTCCGTGGCCCTGCTAGCAAAAATTGGCGGTTGTGGGTGAAGTGGTCCTGCCCGGTCTGGTCGTGGGACTCGGCGATAGTGACGGTGACGTGAAGGAAGGGGGCAGGAATTTGATGCACTACGTCATCGGCCATTTTGGCAGGCAGGTGCGTGCTGCGATGCTGGGTGGAGGGAGGCAGGTAGGTACCTTCCCGCACCCGTCAGAACTTCAGACCAAGAGAGTACTTTCGTACGGAGTACCTACCGAAAGACAATGTACCTTTTCTGCGCCTGCACCACCAACGAATACAACAGACCTTGCGGGAAGAGCGAGGGCAACCACAGCTGAACCTGCCTGCCCCTGCCTTGCTTGCTGCTTGCTTCAGAGATCCAGCCCCTGTGCCCCTGCTTCGCCTCGGCTGGGCCAAGCATTAGAGCGCAAAAGACTGAGTTGACTGAGTTCCAGCTGGCGAAGCACTGGCATTTTTAGTACGTCTCCTATTCGCATTAGTGGCCTGGGGAGATTCGCACCCACTTTCTTAGCGGTCCCACCCCGTACGCTTTGCGCAGTCTGGGTGGTCACTGGTAGACAGCATCTCGACATCTTTTCATCGTCCATCGCAGAGGACAGCGAACATCGTCGATAATGTCACCCTGTTCGATTTTCTGGGAAAGCAACACACCACAAGCATCGACGCATTGGGTTTGGAGTGACTGGACATCTCCGGCAAGACGTCTCCGGGTCTTCCGATGCAGACTTTGGAAAACACGGTCTAGACTCCTGCCAACTTCCGCACCACAGTCGCCGCTGTTCGCGACCGTCGGGTTCCTTTATTGTTGCAAAATGGTCCGATGTAGGTAGGTTGGACGGTAGGGAGCACGGGAAGTATCTGTCTGTACTCTGGAATCGTACATGTACTGTACAAGCGTCCGGGCGGCTGCTTCTCAGACAACCGTTTCCCAGCCTTCCCTCGTGATGGGATCTCTGTCGCACTACGGATATCAGATCACCTAGGAGAGTTTCGTGCTAGGCGCTGTCTGAAATTGTCAACGGTGGATAGCTCGACTATTCGGACGCTATCCCGAGTCAATGCCTCGTATCACCACACAGTCTCCCTGTTGTGCTTGGAGGTGATTGCTGTCTTTCTCATCAATTGCTCAGTTCTCAGGCTGCTAGTCCACGAACTGTCCACTTCTCATCTTTCCCCATCGGTATTTTCCATCAAGTATCAGTCAGGCCAGACAGCTGTGGAACAAAGCGTCCGTCGTCCTCGTGAATCACCAATCGGGTCGTGGCATCTTTGGACAACTCTGAATGATGTGCGCCAGGATATGACGGGATGCAGAAGGGATGTGCTGCGTGCTGCGTGCTGTGTGCACCGGTGTGGATGGCCCGGTGGCCCTGTCCAATATCCCGTAGATTTGTTGTGTCTCAAACACTCTGCCCACTTTGGGACTGGATCGAGATGACACGCTGCCATGGGGAGGCCATTGGGGAGACTGCAGCGGTACAAAGGCACATGGGATTTCCGCTGTTTCAGCAACCCATCGCGACTTCCAGCAAGTTTGCAACCCTCGATGTAAATGGCGTGGTGTTGAACATGTCGTCATGTCAACGAAAGCGCGGGTCTGGACGCGACAGGCATCTTCGCGCTAAGCGTCTCTCTCTTTCCACGCTTGGTTTTTTGAACGTGCATCGGAAGGTACGAAGTGACATACCTAGGACTACCCCCGATGGAACTTGCTTGGCCCCACTTCAGCTCGGTTCTAGCCTCTCCCGTCCTCCTCCTTTCCTTCCTTCCTTCCTCCCTCCCCGTCCTTGCTCCTTCCCTGCCATTATCCATTGACCAACCAACAGAAGCGACGACGGGAGGCAGGAGCATGAGCCCGGGAGAAACATGTCTCTGCCTCCCGCTGGCTGCTGGTCAATTTTTCACGGATGATTTCTCAACGCCTCACCAGTTCTGGAGATTATTCCCTATGCATTCTCATCCTTCCCGTACAATGTAACCGTCCCCCCAGCCAGATGCATCCAAGCATCCCAAGAGCTGCGCAAGAGCTATAGCGTCAGCAATTCAGCATACTCTCTGCGTTTCAATCACACCCCAACCCCCGGCCACACTCGATGATTTATTCTTCACAGCCACAGAACGTCTAGGCCTCTTCAATCTGGTATCCCTCAATACTTGCTCAATTCGCCAAATACGCCACACTTGCCATTCATCAAACAATACGCGCCAAGGCCGGGATCATCACGGCATTCGGAATAAACTGATGCAAGGATCTGGCAAGCGCCACGTCCAGGTCTCCAGGTCTCCATCAACCTAACCTCGAACCCATGGCATTCTGCATTCTGCATTGCCAATCATTGGCACATTGGCAGCGGCATCGCAACCCGTTCGAGCCTTGCTCAGACGACGTCGCCCAACGATCACCTCCCCTTCTGTCACTTTATTGCTGTCAACTGCTCCCAATTCGTCACGCAGTGGATGCCGCTACGGGCCACTGACACGTAATCCCCTAGTCAAGACGTGTTCAAGCCCTGTCGAGTCTGTCAAGTCTGTGAGCTCTCAGGTGCTTGTCCAGCTGTCCCCATCTCATTTCTATCAAGATCTGGTTTCTTGTCATCTTTTTGGCATCCACGCACCCCATTGATGCGGCCCTCCTTGAGCTCTTGTGGTCTAGGACGCTACACATGGCATGGTGTCTTCCTCTTATTTTTCCATACGAATACTTCTCTTTCTCCGGAATCGCGATCGACCAGCAAACACTCAAACACACACCACCAGCCCCGAGAAAAGCACCAGCGTGCAATCCATGACGTCAAGGTCCGGTCATTAGTGCGATGCACCTCACGGATATCTCAGCTCCCTGTGACGCCATTCTTGTGTGTTTCGGCACGCCACTGCATCACCAACCCATGGATTCATTTCCTTCGACCTGCAATCTCCCTTCTAACTTCTGAGCGGCCCGAAGCCTCTGCCTGGCCCTGACGGCCGCTTTGCTTTTCCAAGTGCTCTTCCAAGGTCCATGAGCTGTCACAAGACTCAGGACTCAGGCATCAAGTAATCTTTTGCATCCCTATTCTCTACCTGCTAGTAACCCATAATCCCTATCCCCCGTCCAACTCATCCTTGTCAGTGCCCCCATTTCGATTCACGCGGCTGATTGCCCCACGAACTCACAAGGATGCCTTGCCAAGCCTAATTGATATTCAACGTGATGGGTGCATAGTCCCCGGAGCACCTCCTCCTGACAGCCGTCACCCGAGATCTGCTTCGATCTCGTCTATATGCCTGCACTGATGTGGCGCAGTACTTCTCACAGAATGCGAGGCCATCAACACCCTTCCTTTGCATCACTCAGTCTGGTAGCAACTTTTCCTGCATGGATATGAAATTGCTAGGCTGTCTATGAATTCCTTTCCTCCCGTTCAAGCCTTCCGGGCGCACAAGACTTGACCTAGCTTTCTCTCTCCGTGGGACCATGGCGCTGGCGATAATCGTTTCCTTACGAGCGGACAACAAGCTGTGAATGGACACGCTCAATCCAATCTATACCCCGTTGCCGCATCATATCTTCGCAAGCTATCTTCAATGCTTGAAAAGAGGCATCGACACCTCCTTGGAAATTCATCACAGGCTCCAATGATTCAGAGGCGTTTCTCTTTGCCCATTCCTGCATCGTCCGTAGTACGCGCTCTTTGCGAACGGGCAACGCCCCAAGCACGTTCACTTGCATAGGGTCAATGGCATCTGCCACTCCGTATAGTTGCATCGCCCAGTCCAGCGCCACTGGAAGATTTCGCAGCGGTGCTGGTATCAGCACTGCACTCTCCCATCCCATGACGGCTGCCAACTTCCGTTTGCCGTCAAAGAGGATTGTGCCTGGGTGAGGATCAGGATGGACCAGCGTCACAGGCCAGCCATCCACGCTGCCATGAGTCGCTTCTAACATACATGGGTTCGGGACCATGAACCCCATACGGTTTGTCATCTTCAGGGCAACCTCTCGTAATTTTCGTATGCGCTCTTTGATCTCGGGATACTTTTTATATTTTAGCTCCCAGATTGCGGCGTAAGCGTCGACATAATCTTTGATCCGTCTGAACGGCCCGTTGTTCTGAACTGACCAGTACCTTTCAGCGCCGTAGAAGTGAGGGTGGACAATGGGGCCAGTGAAGAACTCCTTCTTTGACCAGTCGATACGAAGACTGCCAATGTTTACCTGGTTTTTTTTGGGACAGTCGGCAGAGCGTTCTGCAGCTCAGAGAGAAAGAGTTGTATCTCCGTCGCAATGGCTTTCATGTCCTCGTCGTTGAGGTTCGGCATGGTGCCGGGCGATATATCCATGAACCCTTCCAAGCCAGTCTCTTGCTTAGCTGCGTGTAAGTCGTGCGCCGCGAGGGCATAGTTCTCCTCGATCGCGCTGAGTAGAGGGAACCCGGTGCGTACCTCCATTATCATCCACTCTAGCCCGAGTGGGCCCCTACCGATAGAGTCAAAGACGAGGACCTGGGGCACAACGGCCGGGGATACTTGCCTAGCGAACACCATGGCTGCGACCTCTGCCTCGAGCTTGTCGTGAGGGCAAACAGGTAGACTGAGCTTGAGGACCACCTGTCGCGGGAGAGGCGACATCTTACCCTGGCCGACAGGTCTGGAAAGGGGCTCGAATTCAACAAAGTAAAATGCATTCGTCGCGCCACAGCTCATCCGCGTGACGTTACCAATAAAGGGGAACTCGTAGACATCACAATGGCTATACCAATCCAGCATCTTTAGTACATGGTCGCCCGTAGGGATACAAGCGCCCTTCCAGCGGGCATCATACTCCCCATCCGGACGCGCCGTCCACCGCACAAACTTATCGCGGACGTGTTTCACGGTGCCGGGGTTCGTGCTCCGTCCGCCGCGCAGGGGGGCCATGGGATCCGGGTCCGGGATGCGGTAGGGGAGGTGGGGATCGGTTTGTTCCTGCTGCTGCCGCCTCCGCCGCCTGCGCCGAGCACGCTGCGGACGCTGCGGAGGGAGAGGCTTCTGATGACGGGGACTAGGCTTGCGGAGGATTCGTTTTGGGGAGGGCGTAAGGAAGGGGAGGAAGGGGGCTTTTCTGTGAGGTCTTTGAGGCCTGATGCAATGCGGTTGGAGACGCGGCGGAGGATGGGGGGTGGGGTTGTGTTAAAGAAGGAGCGCGGGGGTTCTTCTGGGGAGGAGGGGGGGCTGTCGGTGATGGTTACTTTTACACGGCGGGTGAACTTTACGAGTTGGTTCATTGTGAGGTAAGGGCTTGATGAGCTAGGGGGTTTGGTTCGAAGCGGACCTTTTGGGATGTGTGTATCGTATGGTTGAACGCGGCGGTGATATGTGGTTTGGAACCAGATGTCGATGGATCGAGATGATGGGGTTGGGTTGGTATCTACTCACTTATGAAGCTGTCTTCTTGAGCTTGGTTGTTGGATGATAGGGAGAAACACAGACACTGGTAATATATGAATTCGTTTCATTAGGGATTATCAAGGCTATTGTTCGACAGTCCTTACAAACTCAATGCCTGAGATGCTATGTTGAAGGGAAAATGGCGGAACAATGTCCAGAGTCTCAAAGCAGCTAAACCAAGAACAACAGCATTGTGTTCCACCATACTTGAGACAAAGCTAAGCAGCATATCTAAGTCATTGCGAAAGCAGTTTTCTTTCAATCTTGGAATAGATCTCATGGATTATCTGCCAGATCCATGGACCCAGCAAGGTCAGACCGGGAGTTGGGTGAAGCGCGCCGATTGAGAATTGACAAACTCCACGTAGTGTTTTCCGATCACTTTGCCGTAAATACCTAGGGTTCCTTCGCCCTGTAAAGTCATCGTTACCATGAAGCTGGTGTCTTGGGCCGTGCTACTGTAGGTAACTACATATCGGGGGACCTGGATGACTCCGATGGTCGACACGAGATCTCTCCCAGCTGACAGCCTCCAGCGGGCCCATTACAGGAGGAGGGTTATGTTTACAATGGCTCTTTCCTCGGTAAATTCACAGGAGATCCCTACAAGCAGCATTCTAAGAACCGGCATGGAATCTCCGTAACATCGGAATGACCCATAAAAGCCGAGGATACCTCGGAGCGCCGGAATCCAGGTGATTGTGTAACTGCACGGCCCTCGGGCTGACTAACCCCACTTCCCCGGATCTCCCGCCCGCTCTTCCCCAAACTCCCCGAACGTCACTCATCTCAGCCTCATTGTCACTAATTCATCTCCCTCCATACTCATCTAATCCATTGAACCATTCTTTATCTCGACAACTACTTACCACTTTTTCACAAATACTACCCTTTACCCCAATACCAAAACAGCCAAATGTCAGCAACCACACAACCCCTCCTCAACCACATCACCCCGCTCCTCCACTCCCTCCGCCACCGCCCAACAACCCTCCTCACCACCCTCGCAACACCACTCCTCCTCTGGGCAGCCTACCGCGACTACAGAGCCTACATCGCCCTCGGCCCAGGCGGCGTTCCGCACAACGCTCTAGGCTGGCTCCTCGTCACTCTCGGCCTCCGCCCCTTCGCACTCTCCAAAAGCTCAGCGACATGGACGGGCGATTACCCAGACCAAGGCTCTCACGCCGAGATCCGGGCTTTACCTGAGAGAAACGGGGAGAGGGCCGAATTGGGCGGGATCGTGCCGCATCGGCAACTAAGTCAGCATGCGCCGGAGAAGATGAGAGAGGTAACACATCGATAAACCCTTCGTATGAAAATGAGTTTGTGTGAGTAGTCGACTGACGATGAACTAGTTTATTGAAAACCTCTTCGCCAACGCAGTAACACAGAACCCATCCCTCCTAACCACAAAACTCTCCCTCTACGAACGCAACAATCCAGCCCTCTTCCTCCATCCTCAAGTTCTGTCTTCTCTCGCTTCTTCTTCGGGGGCCACCACCACATCCTCATCCACTCCCGTCGTCGCCCGCGGCGAAATAGCCCACCACCACACAGACCTCTCCATCCACCTCTACCTCGCCCCCGCCGACGCCAAACTCGCCATCCAGAAACGCTGGGCCGAGCGCCACCGCCTCTCCCTTCCCAGGGGCTCCTTCTTAGCTAACAGGTTACATCTCGCGGATTCCTATCTGATGGTCTACGGGCCAAGAGATGAGGAGGAGATGGAGGTGCTAGCGGAGCTGTTGAGGTGTGGGGTGCGGTTCATGATAGGGAGGGAGGATGTTGGGGTGATTGAATGGCGGAGGAAGCTCGAAGCGTAATGTGTCACATTTTCAACGAAGGGGCCTTTTCGGAATTATTTGCAACGAAGAGTTGTTATTAAATGGTTGCACTTGCATGTTCTGTCATCTCAATTGGCGCAATCATGCCAACACCCTGTAAATGGGATACTCATCCCCAGCCTCAACAGGCACAATGTTAAAACTAGCATACGAATCAATATTCTCCGGCTCAAGCGCCACAAACGCAAGCGCAGCATTCTTCTGCCTTGTGCTAACAATGAAGCTACCAGCAGGTAAATTCACCTCCTTGATAAGCGCCTCTGTCGTCACGGCAGCACGCACGACGCCCTCGTAGTACTCCGTCTCAAACACGGCCGACGTGATGTCGTACGCCTCGACAGTACCGACGTACGGCTCGCTCAGGGTCTCGACCTCGAGGCCAGACACGCGCAGGCGCTCGGCGAGATCGGCCCAGGCGACGGGGATGAGGTAGGCTTCGGGGCGGGCGCGGGTGATGTTGGCCGTCACGGGCGTGGTGGAGCGGAAGTTGATAGGCACGTCGGTGACGGAGCCGTTGTTGATGTTGACCATTTTGAATGTGCGCTGGACGAGCGGCGAGGAGTCTGTAACGATGATCTCCGAGGTGGCGGACGCAAAGTCGGCGATGGAGGATTCGATTGTCGTGTAGACCTTTTCGGCGTTGTCGGCGGCGGTTTGGAGGATGCTCGAGGCCATGGTCAGGCCGGCGACGGTGCGGCGCTGGAATTCCTGGTCCGCGAGGAAGATGCCGCGCATCTCGATGAGGAAGGTGACGCACTGCGTGAGGCCCATGGCGTTGCGACCAATCTTGGCATCCGAACCGGCCTCGGCGAAGGTGGGCTTGAACGCCGGGTTGGTGCTGGTGGATCCCGTCACGTACGGCTCCCAGCGCAGGCCCCGGGCCTCCATATCCGAGCCGATGTTTTTCGCAAAGACTTCCTCGGACAGCGTGCGGATGTCTTGGTGAATGTTGAGGTTCTTGGCGGCAGAGAAGAGGCCGTCGGCGGCGTGGTAGTAGCTTCCGTAGCGGGCGGTGGCGCTATATTCGTGCATGTCGATGGCGACGTGGGGAGCGAACTCGCCAAAGAGGGATTTGATATCACGGGTCTGCTTGCGGGCGAGCTTGACGTGGTCGCGGTTGGGGTCATAGTTGGTGGCTAGGGTGCGCTGGAAGTAGCCTACGCCGTCGGGGTTGTACCGAGGCAGTATGACGATGTCGAGCTTCTCGAGGAGCGAGGCAGCCCATGTCTGGTTCGCGTCTAGGGCTCCGAGGAGGGCCAAAAGTGACTGATCGCCGGCTGGCTCGTTGCCGTGTACGGCGCCTTGGACCCAAACCCTGACCTTGCCGGTCGAGTTTGAAACCCTGCGAGAGAGCTTTGTCGAAGACAGGTGGAGGTAGGGAAACGGGCGGCCTTCCTCTGAGGTGAAGTTGGCTTTATTGTAGGTCAACCAGTCGTTCTTGTCGGCCAAGTCTTGAACAAAAGAATCTTTGGACTGGTTAGTCATTGTTTAGACAAAGCTGCTCGTTGAAAGCTCACCAAGAAGATCGTCATCTGTCGGGCCCTGTGTGCCATCAGAGAAGCCTGCAGGAATCGTGTCCGGGGTTAGAAATGCAGGCGAAAGCAAGTCGACGCCCTCGATATCCTTGAAGTTGGCCGCGACAATGTCCGTATCCTTACGCACAGTTACGTGGTTGTACCCATACTGAGCCGCCTGAACAGACGAGAGTAGAGACAAGCCAAGCAGGCTCAGGCGAGATGTAGCGACCATCGTGCTGGACAACGTGAGGTTGTGAGAGGCCGTTGAGTACCAGAACGAAGCAGCGCCGGGATCTGACAGAGAGATTTCAGAGAAGAGCAGCTTCGGCCCTTTTGACATCCCTCTTATTCTCCAAGGCGTCAATGTCGCGATGGGGTAGCGTAGCACCATGCAGAGGATAATGGCTCGTCAACGCGTGGCGGGAGTCCGTCCCTGACATGACCGTTGGCTTGGCTGATCTCATTCCGGAGTTGACGATTGATGATTCAACCAATGTCGGAGGAATTACCGATATCAACCGGCAATAGACTACTGGAATCCATCAAGGCTCTCATCGTAGGTCCGATTTGAATTAGTGTCAACATTGGCAACGAAACTGGATGAGGCAGCTCAGTAGAAAAGATGAGGGGAAAGCGGGGGAATCCCCGTGGGTGCAGATAACGGTGACCATGTCGCCAAGACTTCGGGCCCCCGCAGCGAGATATGCCATCTGCCATTGACGTATAGAATCTCTCCGAAAGACTGCAATGGGTCCACGGGTTCATATTGAGTTGCCGATGTTCGGGTTGGAGGCTCCCTAAACCACGCTCGCCAAGAACACGGCTGTGCAAACTGGTGATGAATAGATACGCAGTTGTCCGACTCCGCGGGCAATGGCCGAGTTGCGGAGCGGCTTCGTGCCGACACCAACCATCAGATACATAACGAAGGTGACTCGCGAAGACGATGATCATTACAATCACTGAATGCCAAGAAGTCGAGGGGTCTTATTAACCTTCCCCAACAGCGAGAGGGAAGGCCTCAATCATTTCTAAAGTATCTTCGGACACGAGACACGAACGGAGTACTAGATGTTCATCATGGATTACAACGCGGCCTTTCCTCGTGACTCGAACGGCAATATCAGTACTAAAAGTCCGGCTGCAATGAAGAGCGCACCACTGGTGTAAACGGGAGCCGATGTCTTCAGGTTGGCGAACATAGCGACAATTGGCTGCGGGCATTGTGTCAGCATTGATGTCCCGGTCTTCGCATGTTGCACTTACAGCCATGATCCCGAAGATGCGGTTGCAGGTCGCCGTGAGTGCGTTACCGGTGCCGCGCTGCGGAGTGGGGAAGAGCTCCGGGGTGAAGCCGTAGAGCACCGCGTACATGACGTTGCTGCAAAAGTTGAAGGCGCAATTCCAGCCCAGCAGCGCATTGCTAGTCATAGCCGTAGTCGAGCAGTAGAGGAAGACGCCGGTGGCAACGGTGCTAATGGCAAGTGTGCCTTTGCGGCCTAGTGCCGGCAGCTCTACCAGCCAGCCACCAAGCAGGGCTCCAGGCACGCCTAACACCGCAATGATCAGACTGTTGCGATATGTCAAATACGTGCTGCCATCGCCCAGTTCCGCTCCACGGGTAGCCTGGATATAAGGTATGAAGGCGTTATAGAGAGGATACCCAAGGCCGATCAGCGCCCAGATGGCCATGATTGTGCCCGTACTCAGAGCCAGGCGGCGAGTAGAGAAAAGCACGCGTATCCGGCTTAGATCAAGCTTCTCCAGATTCCGTTTGACCGCTGTAGCGGCGTCAGTGCGCGCGACGTATCCTTCTGGCTCGCATGCCTTCAGATCCTCAATTGACAACGACGTGAGTTTCCCGTTTCGCCTCGCAACTTCGTGAACGACTCGGACGGCATCTTCGTCGCGGCCTTTGCCCATGAGATACTTGGGCGACTCGTAGATGGTGAAGAGAACAAATCGAATCAAGAACATGAGCAGAGTCAGGCCACCGATGGTGATCAGGAAGTATCGCCAACCCATATTGTTGGCTTTCGTGCAAGTCGCACCTTCTTGGCATGTGAGATTGCCGAGGAGGGGCCAAGCAATGAGAGTGGCAATGACTTGGGCGATGGCCCAGTCAATAGAAAGGACTGTCAACAGGTATTGATGGGTTCCTGGGAGGAACTCGAGGAAGATGGCCGAATCGACAGGAAGGTTGCCCCCTACACCAAAGGACCAAAAGGCCGCAAAGATGCCGATGCCCGCGAAGCTGGGCGCGCCGGCAGCAGCCATACCCCAGAGAGCAGTCAGACCGAGAGTCATATTGAAAGCCACTTTCCTACCAAATAGGTCGCATCCAAACCCCCAGAACATGGCACCTGCCAGGAGACCAATGTTTTGTGACAGTGTAAGTAGGGGCGGGCGTGAAGGGCCGAATTCGTTGGTGATCGGGGTGAAGATGAGCGAAGTTACAATCGGCCAAAGGTTGTCGCTTGCCCACCCAAATCCGACGACGATGAAAAGCTGCCACTGATACCAGCCCATACCGATATCTTGAATCTGGAGACGGAAGTCAGCGATGATATGCTCCGGTGTTCAACTAGTTCGCAAACAGCAACGTACAGCGCGATTCAGCACCCGAGCTTTGGCCTCGTAGACGGGATCTAGAGCACCCTTGGGAATGATGGCAGCATCGTCGATGCCATGGATGCCAATGCTCCCATTGTGAGCCGCACCAGCATGCGAGTCGACCTTTTGCGCTGTGTCGAGCTTTCGCGCGGGATCTGTGTCGGTGCCCATCTCGACGCGAATCTATGTGCCTGAGAAATGGAGGAAATACAACACGACGCGAAACCAACACTACAGGTAGCGCAACCTTGACGTTTCCCCAAAGAGCAAATAGTCATGAAAGTTTCGGAGTCATGGTGTGGAGAGCCTCGCGGGAGATCAGCGCCATATGTACGGCGCGCGGTCGCCACACTCTGTAGGTTTGGGTATAACCGCTCAAGGTACCGGTATTCAGACGGTGCCAGCACGTACTTCGAATGGCGCAATCCGTCCGGTAAAGGGTTCCTGCGGTCTTGATTGGCTTCGCTGACTATATGAGGGTCGGAGTACATGTCGATCTGTACTTTATTCCAATGTCTGACTACAGCTTGACTGCAGTAGAGGGGAACCGAACGATCCTGGCGGGTTCGACGTGTGGGGGATCTGCTCGTAACTTGGCAAGCTTTGAGGAGAGACATGCCTCCTGCGTCATCGGCATTGCTTGATGGGGGAGAGCTGTTTCCCGTACTTGTCGGGGAGCTGGCGTCAAGTTTTTAGAATGGCAGTGAAGATGAACATGTTGTATTTCCGAGGCGCTGAGTAAGGAGCTCCGCAAGGCCGACGAATGGGTTGAATCTTGCTCGAATGCCATGTGTAGATCTGATGCCGCCAAGTAGATGGGAGTCCTCAAGGTTTGGCTTTGAAAGTGGGAAGGGATGAGATGTTTCAACTTTTCGAGAGAACTTGGTGGGTGCCCGAAACACGCCCGTCCAGGCTCTCCCCACAGCGGACGTTAGTGGGCAGCTAGGGAGGGTGATCAGCCACGGCGACAGGTCAGGTGTGACAGCTGGCCACCATGCCACTAAGTCGGCACCAGCTGTGCAGCCATATCTACGTACCTCACTCTCTTCCCCGCGCTCTCCCATCCTCTCCCGTAAGAAGGCCCCAAACATGGGATCATCGTGAAAAGAACTTCTCCTTTGCGCCAAGACACTGGCCAGTGCACCATCAGACATCTTATTTGACATCCAGGTCTTGACTGGTAAGGTCAGAGATGCCGACAATCATAGCGTGCCTCTTGACGGTGTTCTTCATCTTCGGCACTACGTCATCAGCAAAGAAGAACCTCATAGTTGACACAGACCTGTTCAGCGATTGCGAGTAAGTCTATTATGCTCATGGCCACTTATACTCACTCCCATCCTCTCTAACTCCCTCAGTGATGCTGCGGCTCTCCTTCTCGCCGCCACGTCTCCAGAAGTCAATCTTCTAGGAGTCAACATCAACTCCCAATCCTCATATTCAGTACTAGCAGCATCGGCCATCCTCAACCACTACGGCCACGCTCGAGTCCCCGTCGGTGCCCGGCGCCCTCTAAATGATGTCCCGTTCTTCGACAAATGGGCCAGCCGGGCCGGCGAATTTGCAAGCAAGCTAGCAACGCACTGGTTCAAAAGCATCTCCGACGCCGAGGAAGCCTGGGAACCCGTCGACCTCTACCGCAAGCTCCTTTCCGAGGCAGAAAACGACTCCGTCACCATAGCCTCCATCGGCTTCCTACACAACCTCTCCGAACTCCTCAACTCCACTGCGGATGTCTGGTCTCCGTTGTCTGGCACCGAGTTGGTGAAGGCCAAGGTGAAGGAGCTCGTCGTTATGGGCGGGAACTACCCAAACGGATTTGAATTCAACTTTTGGGGCGACGATCCCTTTGAGACGGCGCATGCAATTCATAACTGGACAAGTCCCATTGTCTACGCCGGTTTCAAGCTTGGGGCCTCAGTTCGCTCAGGCGGCCCTCTCATGGCTGACGGACCCAAGACTGACCCAGTACGGGCGGCTTATATACTTTACACGTATTATCAGCCTCAGTGGTCTTACGATCCAATTGCAATGCTCTACGCTGTGGGTGGCCTTGGAGATTTCTTCAATTTTGGTAACGAGTACGGGTACAACAGAATCACCTTGTACGGAGAAGATAAGTGCAATGGTTGCAATGTTTGGGTGTATGACAAGAACGTCACCAATCAGCACTGGCTTGATGTTACAGTCACTTATGAAAAGCTCAGAGACGAGTTGGATAGACGGTACCTGCAAGGAGCATGGTCTTCTAAGAGAGCCTCAGACCACGTGGGAATATTACCCAAGCTTGGCGACTGCAGAGTCGAGCAAGCTTCGAGTCCACCACAGAAACTAGAGCTTTGACAGCCGGGGTCTCTGAAAGCAGTGAAAGAGACAGAGGCGGGAGAATAAGACCAAGGCTTGTAGTGTTGAAAAGCAATAGAATATCTGTTCTGAGTCATCCACAGTTCAACTCTCTCGGTAATTTCTATTTTCGTTGCGAAATAAAGGGAGGCGCCCTGGCTTTACCTGTTCCACGACTTGGTTCAGGGTTTGGAGAGATAAATATGCGCCTGGACCAACTGGATCTGTATGATACGTTTATATGAATTCTTCGAATGTAGCCAAATTCTCCACCCTGAAGAGGGCATTTTATGAACCACCAGATTGAGATAAGAAAAGATGAGAAGGCTGTGGACGTCATGGTAAAGCCAGGGGCAGTCAAGGCTCTTTCACATTATCTAGCCAGAGAAAAGTCGTGCGATATGAGCACTACCTTACTTAACAACTAAGATGTCGAAGTGGCAAACTGCAAATCTGACCAACCACTTGTATCTCAAGCTTAATCAAAGACTCCGACTTTCAGACCTCAAGACTAAAGGCCATTCTAACTTAATTTTACTGTCATGGCTCAGCCCAACTGATTTCCGTACTCGCATCTCCCCCACCACATAAAATGCGAAGAGTGCCTTCCAACGGCTAGCCTTTCTAGAACTAGCATGTAAATCAAATGACCAGATGCCATTCGCCTGAGCCATTTGCTTTACCAAGACTTCCACGCCACCTGAAAGGTTCATCCAGGGTTATTCTCGCAATGGGTCCTGATGTGATCAGAATCTTGGCCAAGACTTCTTGGACCAATAAGATGATGCTCAAAAGTTCCCCCGAAGGGGCATTGGGTGACCGAAAGTAGCCAGCTATCGCTCTCGGAATCTCACATGTACAGGACGGGTGTAGGGCTTACAAAGTCAGGTGATAACTCTAATTCCTATCGTCCGAATGACCTATGATGTAGTGTACTGTTATCCTTTTCTAGTCTTATCTTGAAGACGGCTCCTGTGTAAGATAGGCTAATTGTCTCTTCAAAATTCATTTCACTGCTAGATTATTGTGTTTCTGTTGCTCCATCTCTCTGCTTATCCTTGTAACATCATGTTCAACTGTCTCTGTCACGCTGTACACCTTTTGCCAAAAACTAGGCCTGCATCTTGATAAACCACACGAGCTTTCCTTCCTTTATCCAAGACTCCCACTTGAACACACAAAGCCACACGATGACAAACATGTTACGATCGTGCCGCCATACCCGCGCGCGGCCTTGATTACAAGCTTATCCAGAATAAAGGATCCGAGCATTCAAGACCCGCCAAGCGCCCGGCAAGGCCGCGGCAGAGGGCCTGGGTGACCGAACCAGGGCAAAGGGCCGAGGATCCGCACATCCCAGAACGAGCCAACTCATGGCCATCCCACCGTCTGGGTACCGGTGGTGTGCTCGGCACCGGGCCAAGGCACCCTATGAAGGATCGTTGGGTGTGAGCAAGGGCGCTCTTAGGCTGTCCTGGGTTGTTGGAGAGAATTCAAGGCGGGGCGGTGGCGGGAAACAGAAGGCGTGATTTTGGCGAGACTCCAGAGTGTGAGGAGACTAGATTGTGACTATTGATCCGAGTTCAGCGGAACTGTGGTGACTGGCGAGCACATGATTGCGGATATCCCGCCGGATGGTATCACCGGTCGGAAAACGTTGGTTTTGCGCGGAAGCTGGTGCCACCGATCCTCGTTCATGGAATCTTTGGGAAGAACTTCAAAACAAGTTAGTTGCTCAGCAAAATCTAGGCAAGTCGGCGACTTCAAGATCTGACAGGCTGCACAAATAATTGTGAACCAATACATGCCATGATGGGATCTTGAACCTGTCATTGCAGCTCAGGAACCTCAATGTGAACCTGATGAGCCAGTCGAGAATGACAATTGGCACAAACTCCATTTAATAATGGTGGATTAAACTACTCCGTACTGTTCTATCGATTCACATGCTAAACAAACAGATAGTCTGACACATCGACAAACTGCGCCGATCCTCCGCGCGATCGAGCCCATGCAACCGCTCAACTCTTGCACCGTGTCCATCAGAAAACTGGGGGATTCCGGAAAGCCAGAACCGAACGCGATCCAGCCCGCTCTTCTATTGTTTGACTAATAGTCCCAGTCTCCCAGATCAGACACGCAAAGAAAAAGTCTGCCCAATTTCCGGTCTCGCTGAGAAGCTGTTATGGAGATCCAAGAAGGCAGGGTCTTAAGCCACCGGGCTATCGCCGACGTTGCGGCGATGGAGCTTTCGGAGGCCGAGTTTAATTCTTTAATCAGCTCTGATTCGTTCGTTTATAGACCAGTTTCTCGAAGCGGTTGATCGCCAAGACTGACCACCCTGGACGGGCTGCCACCTCGTGCGGACGACCGTTGCCTCTTTGACGACACTTTTAGTGATACTCACATCGAAAAGAATTTTCTCGTCAAAAGTCGGGGCAAATACGAGAGCTGCTGAAGCCTGAGGGAACGAAAACCCAGCTAGCACCTTACCCAGCGAAAGAGACGCCGGGTCTTAGTGCCTGTTGGTCGTCCTGGAAGTGGATGCCGGTCCACGGCGCCGAGAGGACACTAGTGATGCAGAGACGATGCATTTGACCAATGGGGATACGGACGCACATCTTATCAGATGATCAGATAATATGAAGCCATCCGCTCCCAGTGGAGCCTCCTACACCACCCTCCACCATTTTTCTCTCCCCCTGGAGAACTTTTGAGTCTCTTTCCAAGCTCCAACTGTGAGTCTGTGTCTCTTTGACCTAGAGAACAACAAAGTCCAAACAACGTTGTGGATCCTCAAGCGCCTTGGGCCTAGAGCGATCCCATCAGATAACTCTCTCGGGTGGAGAACCACACGACCGGTGGGACGCTGCAGTCAGGTACACCAGAACAACGCCAGGGACCAGGGCACATCGTCACGATCGAATACCAGGGGTGTTGGCACCCGGTTTCGTCGGCTCAACGCGACCTTGGCGGATGAGCCCGCCGGGTGGACGTTACCTTACGTTTTTGGTGTTTTGGTTTCCTCGGCATGGAAAGCGGTTGGCTGGGTCTCGGCGCCCAGGTTTTGGGTTGTATCCGTAGTAGAAACACAAAGAGCGAGGAGCAAGAATTGGCGCAAGCTTATATGGAAGGCCGTAGATCCCGCTTCCATTACTCTTGATTCTTCTTCTTTCCTCCCAAGTCACTCCCCCATCACAAGTTTCTTCGCACTCTTGTGATCCTTCGAGCCTCGAGCCTTGTTCTCTGAGATCAGTCTCCCCCTTCTCAGACAACTTTGTCAAGTTGAGCTTCGTTCCAGAAGATTCTCATCTCCCTTCAAGATGGTCTCTGCCAAGTCAGTTACTTTGTTCGGCAGCATGCTGCTGGGCAACGTTATGGGCGCCGACAACATGGGTCCGGCGGCCTTCCTCTGGTAAGAACCTCCCCTGCTGTATCTTGCAGGCTTTACCGGAAATCAGCAGCTAACAGGAAGACTACCAGGCCCCCAGACCGTGAGTGGTCTGCCGACGCCGACAACACGGCCCCTTGCGGATCCACCAACGGCCCCGGTGTGCGCACCGAGTTCCCTCTCGGTAAGTTGAAACATCCTCCGAGACGGGGGCTACTCATCGGGTTATTCTAACACCAAAACAACATAGTGAACGGCAAGCTTGCCCTCGTCACCCAAGACGTCACCCGTTCCGTCCACCTGAGTGTCTCCTACGAGAACGGTACGTGCGAACATTCTCACACCACCCTTCGTCTCCACATAATCGCACATCTAACATCCACCAAACAGACCCCAAGTCCGTCTCCGACTTCGAGACCTTCCTCGGCCCCAGCGAGGTCGGCAGCCTCGACCTCGGCCACACCTGCGTGACGGTCCCCAGCGCGCCCGACGGCACGGCCGCCGGCGCCAACGCAACCTACCGCATGCTCTACGTCTCCAACTTTGAGTCGGACGAGTCCAAGCGCGAGACCTACTACGCCTGCGCGGACGTCACCTTCGTCGAGGTCTTCGCCGCCTCCATCCCCTGCTTCAACGCCACCGTCAGCGACCCCGACGTCGACGTCGACACCACCGTCAACGTCACCACCACCGACTCGGGCGGCAACACCCCGCACACCGCCGCCGACTTCACCGCTGCCGATTCCAAGAGCTCTGGTCTCTCCAAGGGCGCTATCGCTGGTGCTGCTGTCGGCTCCATTGCTGGTCTGTCTCTGATTGCCCTTGCTGGATTCTTCCTCTGGCGCAAGAAGGCTGCCAAGAAGGAGGCTGTCACTGAGCCCATGCAGCAGCGCTGGGACGCGGAGAAGGCTGTCAGTGACACGTCTTCCGTCAACAGCCGTCCCCAGAACTAAGCTTTTCCCGACCCGACTTCAAGGCATGATATTGCCTCTGGCAGTGTCGACCATGCGCTTAGCATATTACTGGAACGAGAGATGATATGATTGACGTAGATCATGAAGTAGCAAGAATAAAGGGAGGGATCCCGTAGTATCCCGCTCTTACACACCATGTGTCTTGGACTCGACGTTGACGATCTTGCTGAAGATGACAAAATGTGATTGAAATATGCTTTCAATGCAATTAAGCGAGTTTTTCGACTTGATAAGCGCCCCGCTTTACCACCCGCTGTGCCGCTTTAGTACATTGACTTCCAGGCAGCATCCCCAAGGCAACCGCTCCACCGTTGAACCTCAACGGCCTCAAGTAAGCCGCAATTGAAGGCTATAAGTCCTCAAGGCACTCAGCGCGACTGGATCCGTTGCGATGCTCTTCCGTGCACAATTGACCGATCACATACAAATCCGCTCGGAAGAATCCAGACATCGGACTCTCCCTCCAAATCATGCCCAATACTTCGTCGCCAACAGCTCTCAATCCTTTCAGCAGTGAGCGCAGTGAATTGCCGACCATGAGCCAACGTAAGCGGCAAAAGTTGCCTGACGCAATGGCAATTAACGAGGAGGAGAGGCAATATGCTATTGGAGGGACCACACTCGAAGAATTGAACGAGAAGTGAGCTCTCATTCTACTCTTTCTTGGCCACGGAGCTCACACGCCCCTGCAGGTACCCAAATCGTCCACACAATCATTCAAAGACGATGCGCTTTTCAGAACTTTTCCAAAGTCTCTTCAATCCTTTGAATGAGAACAAGAAGCAACCAACCGGTCGTGGTCCACCTCGTACCAAGAAGGACCCCCACGGACCGCATAAGCTGTCGCCGCAGGAACAAAGACGGCACATCATTGAGCGCTTTATTTCGAGATGGCGAAACGAGGTGGGAAGCGACATCTATCCGGCTTTGCGGCTCATTCTCCCCGACAAGGATCGGGATCGCGGCGTCTACGGTCTGAAGGAGAATGCTATTGGCAAACTCCTCGTCAAGCTGATGAAGATCGATAAGAACTCGGAAGACGGCCATAATCTACTTCACTGGAAATTACCGGGTCAGACCACTTTCTCGAGACTGGCGGGCGACTTCGCGGGGCGATGTTTCGAGGTCCTCTCCAAGCGACCGATGCGAACGGAAGTTGGCGACATGACGATTGCCGAGGTCAATGAGATGCTAGACAAGCTCGCCGCATCGGCGGGAGAGCTGGAAAATTTGGAGGTCTTTGAGGTTTTCTACGAGCGCATGAATGCGGAGGAACTTATGTGGTTGATCCGCATCGTGCTCAAGCAGATGAAGGTCGGCGCGACCGAGCGGACCTTTCTCGACCTGTGGCATCCAGACGGCGAGGCCCTATTCAGCGTGTCGTCAAGTCTCCGGCGCGTCTGCTGGGAGCTCCATGACCCCAGGATCCGCCTGGAGCAGGAGGATACCGGTGTGACTCTTATGGAATGTTTCCAGCCCCAGCTGGCACAGTTCCAGATGCCATCGTCCTTCCAGAAGATGGTCGATTACCTCCGGACTACAGAGGAGGACCCCGAGTTCTGGATCGAGGAAAAGTTGGACGGCGAGCGCATGCAAATGCACATGGCCGAAGATCCAAGCGTCCCGGAAGGTTTGCGTTTTTCCTTCTGGTCTCGCAAGGCGAAAGATTACACCTACCTGTACGGTAGCGGATTGAAGGACGAGAAGGGAGCTCTGACTCGTCACCTGGCAGAGGCCTTCTCCGAGGGTGTCCGCAACGTCATCCTCGACGGGGAGATGATTACTTGGGACCCGGAAGTCGACAAGATCATGCCGTTCGGCACTCTCAAAACAGCCGCTTTAGCAGAGCAGAACAATCCCTACAACAACACAGGGCCGCGACCTCTCTACCGCGTCTTCGACATCCTTCTGCTGAACGACCAGCCTTTGACCCAGTATACCCTGCGAGATCGCCGCCGTGCCCTAGAGAAAGCTGTGAAGGGCGTCCACAGGAGGCTCGAGATCCACGAATACGAGTCTGCAACGTCGGCAGAAGCCATCGAGCCACTCCTCCGCAAAGTCGTCGCTGAGGCGTCGGAAGGTTTGGTCCTGAAGAACCCAAGATCCATGTACAGACTTAACAGCCGCAACGACGATTGGCTGAAAGTCAAGCCGGAGTACATGTCCGAGTTCGGAGAGTCTCTAGATTGTGTCGTTATTGGCGGCTACTACGGCTCCGGACGTAGAGGTGGCGCCATCTCCAGCTTCTTGTGTGGCCTTCGCGTCAGCGAAAACCACATTCAAGCCGGCGCGAATGCCGAGAAATGCTTCAGCTTCTTCAAAGTCGGTGGCGGCTTTACGGCGGGAGACTATGCAGAGATCCGGCATCGGACGGATGGAAAATGGACTACATGGGACCCGAAGAGGCCTCCAGTGGAATACATCGAGCTTGCCGGCGGCGACCGGCAATTCGAGAAGCCGGATGTTTGGATCCGACCCAGCGAATCTGTCGTCGTGGAGGCCAAGGCCGCGAGCATTGGTAATTCGGATCAGTTCTCACTCGGCTTCACCCTGCGATTCCCCCGTTTCCGCAAACTGAGAACCGACAAGAACTGGGACGAGGGCCTAAGCGTGCAAGAATTCCTGGATCTCCGGAGACGAGTGGAGGCGGAAGCCAAAGAAAAGACCATGAGCGTTGAGAATCGCAAGCGCAAGTCAGTGAAGCGCGTCAAGCGCGAAGTCGTGATCGCTGGAACGGAAAACATGCCTGCGCAGTTCCAAGCCGATAAGTCTAAGGTGTTTGAAGGCCTCGAGTTCTGCGTCCTCTCAGAGTCGCTCAAGCCGTTCAAGAAGACCAAGGCGCAGCTCGAAACCCTTATCAAGGAGAACGGCGGCCAGGTCTCTCAGCGGGCTGTCCCGCAGTCCGGGATGATTCTCTTGGCGGACAAGAACGTCGTCAAGGTCGCGAGCCTGGTCAAGGAAGGGCAGAAGGGCAGCGGCGTTGACATAATCAGGCCAAAATGGATCCAAGACTGTCTCGAACAGGCTGACGATTCACTGCTGCTTCCCTATGAGGAGCGACACTTGTTGTATGCGACGGAAGCTCTCAAGACTGTTGCTCTGCAAAACACGGATATGTACGGGGACAGCTACGCCCGCGATATCGGTCTCGTTGAGCTGCGCGAAGTTCTCAATACGATGCCCAAGAAAGAGCCTGATACGGAGCCTTTTCACAAGGCGCAATTTCTCAACCAGCTCGAGGAGCGCGGACGCGGGGTGGGTCCGATGAAGGGATCAATGTTCCACCGTTGCGCCGTTCACTTGGTCAACGTTCAAGAGGACGAGGATGAGGACGATATCAAAATGTTGAAGCCTAGGCACTATCTGACCTTTGGCGGTGCACGCTTGATCAGCGATGCCGACGATACAGAGACTACGCACGTAGTCGTGGTCGGGCACAAGGACCGGCGGAAAGAGGCGGCCGCTGCTTTGCGGGAGGAAGCCAGTCGCAGGCGCAAGCTTCCACACATTGTGAGCGCGGAATGGGTTGAAGATTGCTGGCGAGAGAAGACACTGCTGGATGAGGAGAAATACACGCGAATGTGAAAGACGCAACGGCATTGGGTCCGGCGGTCCGCGGGGGGAATGAATTGCTTATTATACCCAGGATAAATGACACTTTAGTTTCGACTCCAGCATCTAAAAACCTTGCTATCAGTGCCATGCATGACCCGTCGTCCAGTATGAGGTGAGTTTTAAATTCAAGGGCCAAAATAGCGAATCTCCAAACCCCGGGTCGCCCCGGGTATCAGCAGCAGCCTTTTATTTTCCAATAGTAAGGAACAACCGATCGCCAACATCACCAACACCAGGCTTCAACATGCCATTCGAAGTCAACTCGGCGTCCACGCCGGCAATATAGATATCCGTCGCGTCGGCCCACTCGCTTGCAGCGCGTTTGACGCCCTCGGCGGCGCCAATGACGGAGAGGACGACAATGCGCTTAACGCCCCACTCGCGGAGGGTCTGGATGGCGGCGGCGCAGGTGCCGCCCGTGGCGATGACGGGGTCGAGGACGATGGCGAGCTCGGAGGCGCCCGAGTTGGAGCCATCGGGGGAGACGTGGTTGGGGAGATTGTTGTAGTATTCTACGGGCTCGAGGGTCGAGGGTTCGCGGTAGAGGCCTAGGTGGTGGACTGCTACGGGAGTGGGGAGGATTGTTTGGACGGCTGTGGTTTGGTTATGTTAGTAGGTCTAGGCGAGAAGAAGTATGGTGTTGGATTTGGTTTATTTACCTTCTACCATGCCGAGACCTGATCGCAGAATGGGGACGAGGCAGAGGCTGGAGGGGGAGATTGTGGTTGAGGTGAAGTCGAATCCTAGCGGGGTAGTGTCCTGGGCGAATAGTTCAGTCCAGTTCCCAGTGGCTCGATGTAATACAAACAGGATGGGGAAGAATGGGAAGATACCTTTGATCCACCTGTGGCTTTCGTTGAGGCAGCGAGGGCCTCGTATGCCACCATCAACGCGATATCATTCACCAGCGTCTTGACCTCCCTCGCCGGCGTCGACTGAGACCGTAATTGGGACAGCTTCGCCCGGAGACAGGGGTGCTGGGAGATGTGCACATTGGCAGGGAGTTCGGGTGTTGAGGAAGACATGGTGTGAACACGGATAGATCGAAACGTGGGATGAAATTAAACACGAGTACGCTGAAGCATTGAACGGTGACCAGATGAAAGAAAGTAGGGGAGGAATCGTGAGATTTAAAGAGAATGGGAATTGGGAGTTTACCGTCGATATCGACGAGAGGTTGGTGGGGAGGCCGGAGCAAGCCACTGAGACCAGCAGGCAGTACCTACCATAGGAGAGGAGGAGGGGTCCTGTCCTTGTCCTCCTGATCAGCGCCGGTACCTTGAGTGGGTCCTGCATGCGGCGGGAAGCTCTGGATAAGATAAGCCCGCTGCTGCCCATGAGGTCCGACGCCCAACGCCCGCCTTTTTTGGAGCAATTGGGGACTGCCACCAGGTCAACTCCGGCGTCCGGCAAGGCATCGGAGGTCGCCGTCATGCATTTTAAGTTGGGGCCTGGGTCTTATACAGATAGCTGGCAATGCATGGGTGACGAGATATAGGGGATTCGAGAACTTATTAGTAACGTGTTCGTCTCGACTTGTTGCCATTGCCTGTCGTCCTGCCTGAAGCTGTTTAGCTCGGGATGTTAGGCCCCTCCATCCCTCGCACTGACTTACCTTATCGACGTGTGGAATGTCACCGCCTCGGTGTACTCCGCCTTTCCTCGGTGAGAAAGACCCCACCATGGAGCTCGGGCCTTCGGTGAGTGGTGTGAGGTGAGGAAAACCGTGAGTACCGAGATATCCGCCTCTGCCGCCAAGACAAGGTTGTCCGGGAATGACGTTCCCGCTACAAGCAGGCGTTTTGTGGCAGCAGTTTAGTGACGTGACTACTGATCAACCTTCTTTTTAATTGACGATATTGCCGACTACCCGGAATTCCCACGACCCCAGATTCTTTTCGATTATCGAAATCTAGTGCGATTCAAATACCAAACAAGACCACGCAAGATCCGGTCATGCATCGAAACGCGCCGGCAAAATACAAAGACGGGAATCGTAATGCAAGGCGGAAACGAAATGAGGCACGCCAGCGGCGCTACCGCGGTTGAGAAAGATCTCGTAAAGACGAGCGATACTAGCAGGCAGGCTCATGCAGAGAGCAAGAATATACAGAGCGGACAGTCGGTCGGGTACGATGCGCCTGAAGAATATGGCAATCTCGACGAGATGGTCGCGGACCCAATCTTGCATAGCGAGAGTAGGAGCCGTGACGGAAGGGGCGAGAATCTGGAAGAGATGCGATCCACCGGCTATGATGCTCCCAAAGACGACCCCAAGGGCACGATCGCTGGCTCCGGTGTCCACAATCCCAGCGAGAGTCGCATGAAAGAAGGCAAGGGTCTGGAGAAGGAAGCGCAGTCGTCCGAATATGATGCACCAGAAGACTACAGCAACCTCGACGAGATGATCGCGGACCCCGTCGCGCATAATCCCAAACGGCATCGCACGGGAAGGGGTGAAAGCCTGGAGGAGATGCGATCCCCTCGACGGCCCTCCGACCTCGAGATGCAAGACACAACAACGCCCGACGAGCAAGACGAGCCCGAGACGACAACCTCAAAGCCCACCGCGCGCGTCTCTAGGTTGGCGACGGAGGTGTATACACTCTCATACCTAGTCTTCTTCGCCATCTTCGGCACGATTGCCCGTCTCGGACTACAGGCTCTGACGCTCTACCCCGGCGCGGCAGTCTCCTTCAGCGTGCTGTGGGCCAACGTCGGCGGCAGCCTGGTCATGGGCTTCCTGATCGAAGACCGCAAGCTCTTCAAGCAGGAATGGGGTACGCCGAACTACCACAGAGAGATCACCAAAGCCCGGCGCCGCGGCGGTCAGGCGGAGGACGGGAGTGCCGTCACCGCCGATCTCACGGCCGCGAAGAAGGCCCATCTCGCAACCAAGAAGACGATACCGCTCTACATTGGCCTCTCCACAGGCTTCTGCGGCTCCTTCACCTCCTTCTCCTCCTTCATCCGCGACATCTTTCTCGCCATGGTAAACGACCTCCCCCGCCCCGGCGGAGCGACCCCCGAACCGCGGACCGGAGGCCAGTCCTTCATGGCGATGATGGCCATCATCATCGCCACCGTCGCCCTAAGCCTCTCGGCCCTCATCTTCGGCGCACACCTTGCCATCGCACTTGAAGGGATTACCCCATCGATCCCATACCTCCTCGGCCGGAAAGTCATGGACCGCTGCGCCGTCGTCTTCGGTTGGGGCGCCTGGCTCGGCGCAGTCCTCCTTGCCATCTGGCCGCCCCACGACGCCTGGCGAGGGCGCGTTATCTTCTCCATTGTCTTTGCGCCGCTCGGCTGCCTTGCACGCTTCTACGCCAGTCTGCTTCTCAACGCGCGGGTGCCGGCGTTTCCGATGGGTACCTTTGCGGTTAATATCGCCGGCGTCGCTGTGCTGGGTATGTGCTGGGACCTGGCGCATGCGGGACTGGGAGGCGTGGTCGGGTGTCAGGTGTTGCAGGGCGTCGAGGACGGGTTCTGCGGGTGCTTGACGACTGTTTCAACGTGGGTTGCTGAGTTGACGGCGTTGCGGCAGAGACATGCGTATGTGTATGGCCTGGGTAGTGTCGTGGTGGGGTTTGCGGTCATGGTTATCATTATGGGTGCTCAGAAGTGGATAGACGGGTACGCGCCGTTGATGTGTACTCATTGAGGTATTACCTTGAGTCTAGGCTGCTCATGAGCAATCATTCCAATTATGGAATGTCACATAGTTATAGAGAAGAAACACAATACAAACACCAGTGTCTAGCAAAGCGTCGGATGCAAGTGATCCTAGCCTTCCGTGTTCGGAAAGCGCAAGGTCCAATGACGATCAATCAGCTCGGAGTACACTTGTGGCATTCGAATCACGTTCAACAGTATCATACCCAGATTTCTGGTAGGCAATTTGTTTACGTGGCATTCACTATCAACGTTCCCGAGGCAAGGTCGGGTTGCGGTTTACGTAGGCAAGCTCTCAGCAACGAGCCTGGCTCGATGGAATACGCATGGCTTCCACCGCCGACTGCGAGAGCCATGAGACAGAGAAGCCGGAAGGAAGGTATGAGAAGCGTCTGAAGTGTATATGACCTAGTGGCGGATGGTTTCGCATAGTAGGTCCCGTAAGGGTAGCGAGTTCGAGTGCATTTGTGCTCATTGAAATTGGTGGTCCTACATAATGTCACAGACAGGTCATCTTTTTTTGTTTTGAATCCTGTCCTCAGATATTATGATATTCAATTACTTTGAGAGGCTTTTGGATGAAATCTCTGTGGGATCGAGCTATTTACGATGCTCAGGAATCGTGATGGCGATGCTCCAAGGAGCAGGCAGCTCAACAGATCTGAAAGTTAGCCAACGTGATATCCACACGGCTCCAGAGCTTAATGAGGCGATATTTGCTGGAATCGACTTTTGAAAATACCCCTTCTTTCGGGTCTAAACAATCCGCTTGACGTCTTCTTGCCATGAGGCCTGCAACTGCGACTACCTTACCGAAGGTTGAAGCTGCGGACTCTACCGAATGGCCCCACATGCGCCGCTCCGTCCGGTAGCTGTGGAGACCGGCGCACGCCGCAGGATTCTACACGCAAGCTCGAGCTGCTACAACACACTCATCGATTCAAGCCCTGGCAAGTGTACGCCAAATTCAAAAGAGTTCAATGCAGCCCTTCGACAACTTTGGATTGATCGAGTACGTCCTCCGTTCAGACGACTTTTTCCAATGGATTGAGATTGATGACAAAGCAGGGAGGCAGCCGATATCTTGGCATCACGAAAAAGTTCGCCTGGCAACGAAGTCTCATCGTTTCTTGGGAACATGGAAACGGCCTCTTGAAGCCATCGATAAAATAACACCGGGAAGTACCATGTGTTTAAATGGTTGGCTCTCATCTTTCCAACTTTGCCTGCGCCATTTTACCCTCCCGGCGCCAAGCCAAATGGAAAGCATAAGAAGGCGCAGTCTCGCCCTCGTCTGCCAAGAGCACAACCACTGCCAAGATATGGGAGAGCATACACCACAGCAGCAAGCGAAAAGACGGCAAAGTCGTTGACGGCTACACCATTCAGCTCTAGGGATCGTCAATCGGTCGCGTCGTTGCTTCCAGCACAGCCTCCCATCCAAGTTCTACGATGCTCTTTGCCGCGCCCAATCATCATGAGTCCTTTGCACGTCAAGACCCGGACTGGTTCTGAGCCTAAGCGATATCCATGACCGAACACCATGGATCATTCTGCGTTGAGAATGGCTTCGAATAAGCTATCGGAGCTTTACCTTGACTTGGGCAGTCGAGAAGGATGGAGAAACGAGGGTCATAGCAAGCCGCTTGGCGCTATGAAAGTCGCTTCTTCCATTTTTTGACACTTTGGAGATTTCAGATGGCGTAGCGGAACATTCTGAAGATGATGCACATATATATATGACGCAATGTCACATAAGGCCTTCAGATGCACAGCAGCATGGGTCTGTTGCGCTCCGATTTACGATGTAAGGTATTAACAACTGGAAAGAGCAACAATCTCGACATATCGTCGGGCTAGCCGCGTAACCCTGAGGACAAATTTGACACAAGGTATGAGAAAATGTGGAGGGCGTTCGTCTGTGACCGTGACCCCATAGTTCATCAAGTCTGGCCGCCAAGGTTTCTCCAATGGCACTCTCAAGGCTATGGACGAAAGAAACCTAGTCCTCGGCCCTTCCTAGTAAAAGCCGATCTCAAGGTCTATGGCCAAGATTTCCTACCCATGATGGGGAGCAAGGACGTCCTTCAATCAGGCCCACGTGGACGCTGTGTACGGTTGCTATTCGATGTTTTCGTTTACCTACGGGAGTGCTTTATCTCGTCGCATATCTTACATATAACAGACGGATGAACTGTCTTTCTTGGCGATTAAGAGGAGTCGGTATATGAAATACCCCATCCTTGAGTTCTAATTGCTTACATTCTCAAATCAGCCCATCGGCTAATACTCATCCGAAGAAGGACATCTAGAAAATACAAACCAAAACGTTCATTCGCTGGAAGCCCCACCATGGCCATATTCACAGGCTTCGTCGAGAGGCTCAAATCTTTCAGCCCGCAGGAAAGAAGGGCAATATTTTTCTACATCTGCGGCATCATGCTGTACAAATTTGGCCTGGAGGCGTTCAACGGGTCCATCACGGCACTCGCTACCAACCGTTACGACTATGAAAGCGACACCAGAGGCACCCCGTCACGAACTTTTGAGCGTCTCGGTCTCCTCCAGGGATTGAACCAAGCCACGCAGTGTGTCGGTTCCATCCTCATTGCACCCCTGATCAAACACTACCCAACGAAGAATGTACTCTCAGCAGCCATACTCCTGTTTGGCCTGATGACGGCGATCTTGCTCATCCTCGATGCTGCGACGGGAGGCACTTTTGTTCCAGAAGCTTATCGCAAGAAGCATCCCAAGGACGAGTGGTCTTACTACGGAGATTACAACAATGACGCCATCATACCCATCTACACGGTCACCGGTATCGCGTACGGCATGGTCGAACTCATCCGCCGCGTTATCCCTCGAGATATCGTTGGAGGCAACGTTCAGAAACTTCGCCAGATGGATAGCTTGGTGCATATCTTCTACGAAGTCGCCGGTACATCAGGCGCCTTCGTCACCGCGCTGGTCTTGATACCCAACCTAGGCAACAATCGCTCCTTTGTCATCACCCCGATCTGCTTCTCTCTTGCAGCTATTCTATGGTTGTTCGTTGTAGACGGGAGTCACGACCGCAACGCCCTCGCGCGAGCTGAGGCCCGCAAGAGCAACTATTTTGTCAACATTGGCAAGGGGTTCCTTCTCTTCTTCGAGTCCATCTGGGTCGGCGCAAGGATTTTGTTCACGTCAACAAGATTCGTCTGGCTTGTCCCGGCATATGGCGTAGCTCTCTACGGCCACCGATACCTCGAAAACGGCATCGCGCCCCAAGTCGCCCGACGGTACCTGGGTAACTCGGCATGGTCGCAGATCATGGTCGGCGGTTCCAACTTTGGTGAACTTCTGGGTGCCCTATTCGTTTTCCTATTCACAAACGTGGTCAAGACGCCTATCCCGTGGCTTCGCCTCGATGCCCTCATGCTGCTCATTGTTTGGTATATCCCCTACTGGTACCCGCCCTCGGGACAAGTAGGTCAGGCCTGGATCGTGGCCGCCACCTTCTTACCGGTTTCCTTCGGGTGGGCTGCAGGAGACGTATCGCTGGCTGCCTTTATCCAGGCTTCCCTCGCCAGGCTCGAAAACAAGGAGGACAGGGTTTCGCCTCTGGGTGCTGTCATGGCTTTCTTGTACTCCTTCTATATTGTTACGTACGCGATTGCCGGTACTTTCCTGGGAAGGTATCTCGATGGCGTTTACAACCGAACAGGATCAGTGCGAGAGGCACTGGTGAACACCGCCGGAGTGCACTTCACCGTCATCATGGCAACGGTCTTTGCGTCGACGTTTATTCCCAAGGGTTCTCGGTGTTTTAATCCCGAGATGCTGGATGACACGAAGCTGGATGAGGACATTGAAGAGTACCCGCCTTCGCCATCTGACAAGGATATCATGAGTGAGGTTGGGCTGAAAAAGGAGGCGCCCGCGATCGTCGTGTGAGAACTCGGAGAACATGGAATTTTAGTTGCTCGGAGACTTGAAAATTTCCGCGGCTTTTTTATGATTTGGTAGGGAGTTGTCATGTCACAGAGGCTGAACTACGTTTTTTTTGGATGGAATCCTAGAGTGCTACGTTCCCCAACGATTCAAACCACTCTGTTTTCATCTGCCGTGAATGCATTGTGTTTGCAACTTGACCATCATGCTGAAGTTTGGTTTAAGTTTAGGCAACCACCTATCCATGATTGCAGACCATAACGGTAAGGGAAACTCTCACCTACACTGACCTTGAGGTCTCAGTCTCGCCTTCTCTTCAGAGGTTGGGTAAGGCCAGTCGACCGTTCTACTACCTTGGCTACATGTTGTAGATCGCAATGCTACGGACTGCGGTAAACGTACCCGGCGCTTGGGGAGTCGTGTCAACCTCCTGAGTCTCCTAAGAAACGGAATGTAGCTCCACTTGATCTACATTTTGATCATTGCGTCTGTGTGCTTTCACAACTCAATTGGTTTTGCTTCAGATTGAGCAATTGTGTTCCAGAGACAATTGCAATATCCCGAGTCTCTTGATTGACGCAGTTAAGTCGGCCACTCCGTCGTATTATTATCGTCCTGTATCATAGCGTCTCTCGGCAGGAGGCCTCTACGAAAAGAGAAGTTTTTGCGATGGACCGACAACTGACTGTGGTTCTCTCCATGGCCAAAAACTCAAGCCAAGGCCAATCGCTTCCTCAGTCCTCATGAAGTCTTACGCAATCGGCAAACCACAACGTGAAAGGTCAAAAGCGCATTAATATGGAGCCCCTTGAGCTTTTGATGGTTATCAGGAGCTCGGGTATTGCGACCGAATCCGGCGCAGGGTAAAGCTAAGACATAAGTTTACCTGCTTGCGAAGCTCGGGATTGAGCCTCGTGGTTGCGGCTGATTCGGTTCCGTGCCTGAACTGTGCGAGAGAGATGCAGGGGGTCTAATGACTTGGGGGGTAGGCCACGCAGCTTCTGACATGTCACTCTGGCAGGTCTCGCGTGGCAAAGACCCTGTGGAGAAGTTTGAGGTCGACTAAGTATACCGAAAAGGGAGAGAAACGCTTTGGGCACTGGCCTGACGTGCCTGTCAATAAGCCCACTTGAAGAACAATGTTTCGGTTCAGCTCTCGTAACTGGGTTCTTGCGAATAACGGGCAGGATATCACGAGAGGAAAAAGAAAAGATGGCACACGTCAAAGCGCGCGTAGGCACACAAGAGGGACGAATGTGGCTGTGTCTTCACCGCGTGTTTCGATTGTTTTTCCCGCGTTCGGATGAGAGGTGAGCAGGATGGAGCGGCAGCGGCAATGGCGATATTTCAAGAATTTGACTGGGGTCCATACTGGATATCATTTGTTGACTGTTCCTCCGGGTCTGGTCCCATCCCGTGGGGTGCCTGAATGATCTGCGTTCATGGTCCCGTTTCGCAGGCTTCTCCCTGCTTCAAATCTCAACCATCTCAACCCCATGTCAGCCCAGGCTCTTCGTCATTACGCCTTTTCTGACAGATTGACCAAATAGTCACATAGTTATCCTGTTGTTGAGGCATGCAGCAGACGGCGACCACTCGATGGTCGCCGTCCTTCACAGGTGACAGAGGCATGCTTGCTGGCCCGTCCGGGCCCTTCCGGGAAATTGCTTGATGCCGGCTTCGACAGGGATTCTACCCACTCCAACTTGCCAACATGGAGTTAGCGTCTGCTGAAAACTTGAGAGTGACAAGCCTAGTGGAAGAGCTGGGGTTAAAGGCTACCATAGATCCTTGCTGGGCCATCATCTCTGGGTCTCACGGCTTGGCTAGCTCCCTAGTGGAGGATCTTCTCGAATTTGGCCCACAAGCCTGAGCTCTGTAGCTTTGGCATAATGCCACAGAGTTATCATATCTTCAGCACCCAACAACCCCCAAGGAATCCCCCAAAGTGAGAAGTGATATCCCACCCTCATTCACTCGACGGCCCAGGCTGCAATGAAATCTGTAAGTTTCAGTGCTGATTGGAGAAGGCGGGAGATATCCTAGATGATCCCGAAGATCCGCCCTTCTTCGCAAGCTTTTCTCGAAGAGGGAATTGAAATCCGCATCTTGCGTGGCATTCCGCGTCGCACCCCCGATCCCGATTCCGAGTTGTATCCGGGGCATGGACTGTCGTCAGTCGCCGGAAATCTCTGGGCACGGCCTTTCGATCCCGGGGGAACCGCACCAAGTCCCGTGGAATCCCACTTACCGCCAGTATGGGCATTCGAGAGATAGGTATGAGACCGCCTAGCTAGTTTAAAGATTGATAACACGCACAGATTCGAGACCGGTCGATACCAAGCAGTTATCTACCATGGAAATAACAAATCACAGGGGCGGAATTGGGCCCCTAGGGCAGCAAGTCAACTCGGATCCGCCGGCCGGGCCACCCGTAGGAATGGCGATCCGTCAATCATCTAAACTCTCTTGACAGCCCCATCAGCAAGTCATACCAAGGGCCTGGCGGTACTCGGCAGAACGGTGAAGCCAGAGAGGCAGCCTTTGGCGGAAAAGAGCAGTTTTGGGCGGATTGAAAAAGCAAAGCTGAGTCCCGGCTTGCAGATGATCCCTTCACTAGTCCAAAGTGCTGAACCGAAAACTCGAATGATTCTGTGAGACAGAACACACTGTGACAGTTTTTCATCCTCTCACACTAAGCCCTAATGTGAAACTGTGAGAGGAAATGCTTGCTACCCAAGGCTGTAGATCACGTCGGCTAGACTAGGGTTTGTGCAGTCCGTATTGGTCACGAGGACTGCAATCACTAGGAATCAAGGGCCAAGATCCTCGAAGCACATCCAGACTGCCCCCGCTTCCAGCTTGGGCCAAACTCTAATGGGTTTCTGTAGGGTACGCTGCTAATTACCCCATGCTTCCAGACATCCACAGTCAACTTACGGATATCCCATGCAGCGACCCACGACGCCCATGCCTTATCAAACGGCACAGAAAACTTGTAATAGTTTGTTTTCTATCCGTAATGGCGACATCTGAATGCCAGGGCAAGGGAAAGCTTCGTCGCCACTCGCAACAATGAAGCCCCCGCAGATGTCGGGATGCATGCCACACCGTCACCGGAATGACGAGAACTGAAATGATCTCCAATGCTTTGCCTTGAGAAGCCCTGGATGCCCAGGGGGTTTCCGTCTGAGCTTGGACCATCTTTCAAGGATCCGACGACGATGCTACACTGCGGCAGGACTATTTCGGTCTAGACACAGAAAGGCATCCTGCAACCTGACCGAGGATTTTCCACCTACATAATGAAAGCTTCACGCTAAAAGTTGCGATGATGCCCCCTTCTCTGATGTATGGGTGTCAATGGATATGATTCAGCTACTAGGCCGAATCTCCCTCAGACCGCTACCTACATTCTACTAGTACTTGATACTTCACTTTCACCGAGTCGTTTACAGACACACGCCCCCAATCCAAGCTAAAATTACGCACCTCTCTGCATCTCCAAATCGCAACTTCTTCAACAGACGACATACGCTTTGATTCCACTTCCATCATACCGGTGCAGTCTACCATAGATCTCCAGACTATGGGCTTTGCCAAAACTTTGCGCTTGTAACATCCGCTTAGTTCGTTATTAGACGAAGCGTCGGAGCCGAAACTCGGAAACAATTATATCAAGAAAATCGCCTCTCTCCATTTGACTGAATAATCAGCCTCCGCCATCAACAACCTGGAGATACTACCTGCGAAGAAAATGGAGATCACCGAGCTTGTTAACAACAAGGAGCGCTACCGCCGCTTCTACTGCAGTTGGAAGACCTGCGAGAAGGTAATGTCTTGTGCTTTCCTGAATCCCGAACGTTGATAGGAGGCTGCACGGAAATCTCTGAAGAATATCATGCTTACGCACGTGTTCCTACAGGGTTTCAACCGCAAGTCGGACCTCATCAGACACTTCCGAATTCATACCAATGAGCGGCCGTATCCATGCCCAGCACCGGGCTGCGAGAGGAGTTTCATTCAAAGGAGTGCGTTGACTGTGCACCTCCGTACGCACACTGGAGAGAAGCCATACGAGTGCCAGTATCCTGGATGCTACAAGCGATTCGCCGATGTGAGTAAATACTTGTTCTAATTAATAACGAAACTCTGACCAGAATTTTCCCAAGTCTTCTAGTTTTTCGCGCCATCGAAGGGTGCATTTGGGCAAGCGTCCATATACATGTGCCATTGAAACCTGTCGGAAAAGGTTAGTCACAGATTTTGACTTCTTTGGCCACTTGAGTTCAAGCTAATAGAAAATCAGTTTCTGTCGGAAGGTAGCTTTGATCCAACATCACAAGATCTACCATGACTCGACTTCTGGAGAGGAATCCGACGCCTCTTCGACCTCAGAGGAACTTACGCACACCTCGAAACACGAAAGCCCCGTTACGAGTCCGATTTCGATGCCAGAGCATGTTCATAGTAATACAACGAGCCCCACGCAAACGATCGAGGAGCGTCGATCCCCAATTGAATCCATGCATCACACGACGCAACAGTTCAACAAATCGGAAGAGCTGTTCTACGAAAGCCAAGCGAGTGAGCAACTGGCATTCCCGGCCATTCATGCAGAATACGAGTACGAAGAGCCACAGGGCTTCTACCAGGACCCTCTTTACTCAAACTGCAATGAGGATGTCGTATATCAACGGCCGAGTCCTTCTTGGCACTTCTACCCGTCTCCCCAGTACTCAGCTTGCGGGTGCAACTCAAATCCAGCAAATATACCCTGGAGTTCAGCGGGTATAGTTGGCAACGCAGAGGTCGGTGACGAGACTGGATTCCTGCTTGCGCAAGATCACGCGCCCTCCATGGCTGGATTCCCTCCAACTATTGTATCACGCCATGCCCAGCATATTCAGGAGGCGGAGTGGCCGAGAAGTCAGATGTGGTACAATGATGGGATGCAAATGTCTCCCGATTTTGGTCCGACCAGAATGGCAGACTCTTACAGATTTGATTGAAACATATGCCTAATAAGCCGCGAGTCGGTTGCGACTGATTTCAGTCAATTGTAACAGCATTGGTTGTGCTGTTTTTCACGCATTTGATTTTACGAGCGACCGAAACCCATTTTAAAATACAAATCTAAGGACATAACTTCCGAAAGAATAGCATAAGAAAACAAAGAATACAATGAGCGATCCGATCTATGTCTTCGGGCCTCTGCGTGATACAATCCACTCCGATTACACTCGGCTGATCTTGAAGCCACCTGGAACTCTGTGCTGAAAGAAGCTGTCCGGGTCATACTCCTCCGCAACTCTTCGGATGTGCTCCACATTAGCTGCTCCATAACTTCCAATTGCGTTTTGTCTCGAGTCCGCATAGGGAAGGTACCTGAACTCAGCGTCGCTCCCAACAGACTTTGAGAAGTCTTCAATCCTCTTATTCACGGCTGCGACCTGCTGGTAAACTCGGGGGTAGAGCTCCTCGCTTTTCGATCCTAGTAGAGTTACCCCCATAACGAAAAGAACCTTGTTGCGCGAGTCTCGCTCGAGTCCAAGCATGTTGCCCCCTTTCTGCAAGCCAATGTCTGCGAAGTACGACGGGATCGGCTGGAAATCGAGGATCGTGGCGAAGTTCTTTGGCCCGAGCATTGCCTTCATGTCTGCGACGAGGCCATCATGCTGTTCGATGCAATACCTCAAGACCCTTGGATCATTGACTGCGGTCAAGGCTCCAGCTCCAGCATTTCTAGAAAGAAATATTAGCTACTTTCGAACTTCTCTGGGGTGATACGTCCTCGGTCAACTTGCCGATTTTTGCCCGACAGCGCAGTACTATTGGCAGCTTCCACAAGCGTCATCGACTTCTTTATGCTCGGAGCTGACGTCGGGATACGGTTGAAGGCATCGAATGCCGTACTGTTGGCCTTGTTCTTGGTATTGACCTTAGTCACCCTCATAATGCTGTCTTCGGTCTCTGGATCGTAGGTGACGACAAAGAGCACCGCGTTGTCATCAAACGATCTATCCAGATCGGCGAATCCGGCGACTACATTAACGGTGTCGTCAGAGTGCTCTCGGCCGAAGGTCTTCGTCTCCACTTGGAGATTCTCTGCCGGAAACGCTTGAAGATCAAACCTAGTGACGATGCCAAAGTTGCTGCTGCCTCCCTTCAGCGCCCGCCACAGGTCCGAATTAGCAGACACGTTGGCGTTCACAATCTCGCCGCTCGCCAGTACCACCTCGTAGTTGACGACGCTATCGCAGGCGAAGCCCGTCCGCGCCGTGTACCATGAGATGCCACCGCCGAGAAGGAGTCCGTCGACACCCACGACAGCTTCCCTTCCGCCCGTGACCGTGACTCCGTCTTTTTCTAACGCGGCATACACAGATCCCCATCGTGCCCCGGTTCCGACGCTTGCGACGTTCGTAGCTGCATCGTACATGGTGGTGTTGAGGTGCGTCAAGTCGATTGTCACACCTTCGGCAATGTTGTTCTGGTTATCACCCCCGTGCCCACCTCTGCGGATGGCCACGTGCCAGTCTCCGGCACCATTCCCGACAGAGCGAAGAGCAATGAGAGTTTCGGAAACTTAGGTGACAGTGCTTGGAAGAACGAAGCACCAAGGTTGTTTGCGGGTTGCGATAGCGTAGGAGCCGTTTTGAACGAGAGATTGGTAAAGGGGAGAAGACGGGAAGTGTACGGCGTGAGAAAGATTGGCGGCAACAAGGGCGTCACACTAGATAGATATCAGCCGGGGATGACCAGGATGCGTTGTTTGGGGAAGGGCTGCGGACTGCAGGAAAGCCGGATAGGCCTTGAGTGCCATTGATTGCTACCGATTGTTGTCCCTGCACACCGTTGAGCAGCATTAACTGTAGAAGTGAGGTAGTCCATGCGCCCTTTGACTTTGAGGATTGTTGGAAAAGCATCGTGATGAGTTTGAGAAATATTGATCTGAGAGATTTTGACAAGATGAAGTGCTGTTTGTAGTGGAGTGCATGAGGTCTTTTCTGCACGAATAGACGAAGAAACAACTCTCTGTCTATTCTCAACATGCCATTTATATGTCATAGGAGGATTTCTAGTGCCTTCACTGCCATCTCCGATGTTGTAAAGTAGGATCATCATGAGCAAACACAGCCATCAATCAGGTTAAGATCCGCGCACTGGTCTCATAAGCTAAAGACTGTAATGTCGTCTTGAATTTCGTCTTGGTACGGCCTTTGTCCGTAGTAGTTGCTCATAGCCTTTTGTTTTTTATACATATCAAGAAAGTATTCTGCTATCTCATGGATGATAGAGTAGATTTACGCGTATTTCTTTTTGGTTGATTGTGGCTAGCTCTGACGCCACGCGAAGCTAGGCCTTATCCAGACTTTGATCGTGCAGATCAAGGGAATCGAAGACTGTTAAGAAAATGCGCGCAAATATGATCTAGTCCACTGATGACAACTCATTTACATTTAGTTCCTAGTAGGTTCCTTTAAGCTTTGGTCCTGTGAAGCCAGCCTTTATTAGAGGCTGTGCGATGTCTGCGCGCAATCCTGTAGGATCCAAGAAGGTCTGGCTCAATACGGCGCGATCTAATTTACGCGTATTTCTGGTAGAGCACTATTAATGCTACTGCCCATGGCCACATAGGCGGGAGGGAAATATTATACTTAAACTCGAAAAGCGACTGCCATTCTAACTTTATGTCTTCACTGGTAGAAAGTTACCTAATGCCCGTATTGAACAGGGCTTTTGATAGGAGCAAGCCTCAGATCCCTGGACCCTTTATCACTATATCCATCTAGCTTCAACGTATTCAGGAGGTGGGAAATCTTTCAGGTTGTCGATTCAACTACGCGAGATTGACTGCCATTCACATTTTGGCTATATACCGATGAAATATCTCTGTCTTGAATCCCAGCCCATCCTTCCAGCATTGTGCCGAAAGTTGATGCCATACCGAATGTGCGCCGTACCACCTCTTATCAAGTTACCAAGAGGGCTTTGCAACCCATCCACAATACAAGTTTTCCAATTCGGTTGGGATACGCCTCCAGCATCTTCTCGTAGAGCTGTTCGGCAGTGGCTGACTCTCCCACCCCTTGCTAAAGGTTTTGATATACTCTCTCGACTCACCAATGTTGAACGAACCATCGACGCCACCAAGACGGTGATGAGACCCAATAACAATGGATGGATTATACGACTCAAGTGTATCCAGAGCTTTAATCCAATCATCTCGAGCTGACTGCGAAGGCGATTCGGTCATCCGCATGTGCACGTCGTTATACACAATATCGCCAGCAACCGACAAGTTCAACGCTGGCACGTACAGGAAAGTAGTGCAGTCGGTGTCGGTGTGCCCGACGTTGGCAGCCTTCAAATTGTGGCCTTCGACTGTCAAAGTGTTGTTTTCTAGGGGATATTCCAAGATCTTAGAGGAGTCTTCGTCGATTTGTCCGGGGAATAGATCGCCCCAAAACTTGCGGTAGGCAGGCGTCAGTTGAGTTGACATGTGGTCGATCGAAGCCTGGGTTGATACAAGCTTGACACACCCGGAAATCGGCTGACAAGGTATGGAACACTGAACCAGTGATCTCCGTGACCGTGAGTGATGTATACATGGTTGTCAAGGTCCTGCCATTGAGGGTCTCTTCAATCCAGTCACCAAGCGAGACAGCTTGAGTCGAAGTGAACAAAGTGTCGATCAGTGCGGCCTCCGAAGGCCCGGAGATCAGAGTTACGACGGTAGGCTGCCACATTCCAACAGAGCCGTCCGGTAGAAGTTCGCTGGTTGGAATGGGTGGAGCGTAGTAGAGGTCGGCTCGAAGAGGCGCAGCAGATTCCATGGCTATGATCAAACGAGTTGGAGTTGATACTGAGAAATCTGAAGTAGGACGGTGAAGGACTAATGCAATGTGGTTAACAAAGATAGTCCTCAAGAGACATTGAAGTGGCAGAGATTTTCGACTTTTAAGCTGACGGCCCAACAATGTTGGCCATTTCCATAACAAATGCGCCTACATGTAGTCCTCATCCATTGGATCGGATCATGCGGAGACCTCCGGTGAAGTTCCAGATGGGGGCGATGTGTTTCTCTATCGAAGTCCTGATCCTGTGTTGATTAGTAAAAGGTCAGGCTGTGGTGATCATATGCCCAGCTAAGGTCTGTTGTTACTTAATGGCGGGTATCCCAACCCACGGAGTCAAGAGCATTCAACTCCGGGATTGCCTTTGGATTACTGTGCTGGTATGTCAGCGGTGTTTCGACGAAGAGTCCATCCGTCCACAAGTAGTTCTTTCAAGCACTCCGAATCTTGGTAGAGCTGTCTGGCTTACAGGCTAGCAGGATTCGACGTCTCTCGTCAGCATCACCGCAACATCACCGCAGCAGCACCCTCATCGTGTACTGCTATATCGTCCACCTTGTCATGTCAGCCAACGCATCTTTGAGCAACAACGCCCCGACAATCGAAATGCGTTCCGGAGTACTCCGGCCACGTAAGAAAAGAGTCCAAGCAGTGAGAGCTTGCGATGCATGTCGGTTGCACCGCATCAAGTGTGACAGCCACGTTCCATGCTCTAACTGCGATGCTCGTGGCAAAAGTTGTAGCAATGCTGCAATCAGACAGATGTCACCATCCGAGGCGTTCCGAGAAACCGAGCGCCTCAGGGCCAAGGTTCTAGAACTTGAAGAACGGCTCCAATATCCGGAGCTCGCACGCTGATGACGACACACACAGACAACCTACCGCGGAAGCATCGTTACGAGAGACCCCAGCGCCCACTCAAAGTCGACAGAATTGTCCGGACGGAATTTGCATACCTGCTGGTACTTCGGGTAATGAGACGTGGTACGGGGTGTGATCTCTTTTACACTTCATTGGGCGCGTCTCAAACTTCATGTCTTCCAAGCTAGACCGGCCGTGTTTGCCCGCAGAGATGCTCAATCCCAACTCTTCAAACAATCTTCTAGACGAACCCCAAAGGATTCAAGGTCCAGACATCATAGTCCGTGGCGAATTACCATCTCATGGCGCGAGTAATTACCTGCTCCCAATGCAGGAAGAGTTCTTTCTGGACATGTACTGGCACTCTTACCATACCTCCGTGTTCCCAATCCTTGACGAACTCGAGTTTAGACGGTACTATCGGTCTCTATGCTCGACGCAAGGCAGCACCAGCACTAGGCAACCTTCCGCGATCGTTCGATATAGTGCTCACCATCTGTATTCAAATGGGATTTTCTTCACAACCAGCCTTGCGGCGAAGGTTCTCGCCTGATCCCGCGGATGATACGATTGCCGGTCGGCTGTATTATATCCGCTCTCAGCAACTCTTGGCCTACGAGTTGGAAAATTAGACCTTGTGCACGTTGCAGTGTCAATTACTGAGCGCCGTCTACCTTTGCTCAGCAACCTTTCACAATATGTCAGATAGCGCCTGTTCAGCGGCTGTTCGTACAGCGTACATGCTGTGTCTTCATCTGGCCCCTCATGAATATCTGTCGGATCGCGACCGCCAGGTGAGGAGACGTCTTTGGTGGGTTCTATATATCTTGGACAGCAAGATTGGAATCAAATACGGCCGCCCCTTTTCTTTTGTCAAGAGCCGGCACTTACCGATTTGCCGGACGACGACCTGAGCGTTGCTGCCGAAGCGGGGTCCGATCTGTCTGCTCTTGGAAACAACTTGAGCTGGTTGACGTTTCATCGCGAGCATGCAAGACTCTTTTGTGTTGCGCGTGCTGCGTACGCTCATTTATATAAGATTCAGACAGGCGAGTCCGCCGTGTCTAGAGTACTTAGTCAACTGAGCATGTCAGCCGATCATGAGGAGACGGTGAAGTCAGCTGTAAGGTTACTCGAAGACTGGGCAGCCGGGGTACCTGAGGAACTGCAGGTTCAGCGAGTAGGCAGCGGCTGCGGACTCTCGACAATCCCGGCGGCTCTTGACTCTGACCCATTCACCTCTGTGGCTCGAGAGGCAGCGTCTGTTGTTGGAGTTGACTTACCATAATATTTGTGTCACTCTTTACCGTCCTTTCATTACTTTCAGCACAGCCCCAGTGTTGCCCCTCGTGGAGCAGATGGCTCTAAGATGTGCTCAGCATGCTATGGCTGCCACGATCATGTTGCATCAGGTTGTAACATCTTCATCAACAATGACAGGCTGGCATGAGGCCTTTCAATGGCAGTGAAATTCAACAATGACACTGGTGGGATTCGTCCTCGCGTCGGACCCAGTCGAGTCAGCATCTCCCGCAAGAGAAAGTATTGAGTTGTCCATTGTCGTTCTTGAAGACTTTGCTGAGGGCATGGTGGTGGCAGCAAAGGCTGTGGACGTTGTGCGAAAAGTCATAGTTAAGTTGGACGATATCTTGCAAGCAACGGGAATGAATACAAGTTCAACAGGGAACGAGATTGGGCGTAACTTAGAGGCTTCGACCGAACCCGGTTCACTGAGACCCGGGGCACACGTCAATTATACGCCATTGAGCATGGATGTTGAGGTGGAATTTGCAGACCCTGCCGATCTGTCGGTTCAAGATATCCTTAGCATGGCTTCGAACGTCGACCAGTATGCTGAACCGCATATGCTTTGGCCTGGTATATACATTTAGAAATCATGTAAGTCAGTCTCTTACTTCAAAAGACCTCCATGAGAGTTGAGGCATGGCGCAAATCTTGCACCACCACCTTGGGCCACATTTGCAATCGCTACTGTTAACATGAAGGCAAACAAAATGTACCGAGTTATCTCGCCAATGGCCCTTCAACGCCTCAATCTTCCCTACGTGTCTCAAAAGCGTTCCCGATCCTCATAATCTTCAGCCTCTCCCAGTCCAAAAACTGCGCATTGTCCTTCCGCAATCTCTCCTCAACCTCTCCAGAGTTGGTCACATCAAAGAAGGCCTGCGCCGCCTCCTCGTCCTTGAAACCAATCTCCACCACAGCATCGGGCTCTTCTCCGGTGCTTTTCCCGATGAGAACGGTCGGCTCATCGTTTGGCGATCGCTCAATGTACCGCCTCGAGTGCAAGGAGGGGAAGCGGGAGCCGGTGAGCTCTCGCGTGAGGGGTATGTGTATGTATTCGTAGTGGTCTCTGAATTCTGCGTGTGTGATGTCCTTTTTGCGGTAGAGGAAGAGAATTAAGCGATAGTCCATATTTGGTTGGTGGATGAAGGACAGGTGGGCCAGGTGGGACTTTGTCTAGGGCGTATTTTGGATCATAACATATGCGACGTTGAGCTCTAAGGAAGACTTTGTCGATTTCTGTCAAACACTAAGTAGGCGGGGTGAGAGTTGTCTTTAGGACAGCGTTGAAAGTTTAAAACAACGTCGATGTCACACAGTACGCTCGAGAGTCCAGCGTGTTCTCGGTCCGAACACTTTCAGGTCCGAGAACCCACCACAGGTTGTCGATACGCAGTTAGAGAGAATTTTCGGGGCGCAGAACCATAACGCTCTAAAACATAACTTAGACTCACATTACTGAGACTGACATTCAACAAGTTCCTCTTGCTTGATGCCTCCTCAAGCTGAAAGACACATGCACGGTGGTCACTGCTCTGCCACGAGTCGCTCAAGCAATAAGCTTTGCAGGCATTCCGTCATCCGTGATCCGAATCAGTGGTTGATGCAGATCTTCGGCAAAGAATCTCGCAATCAAATATTTTCGCATTTCTTGATAATGGCATGCTGTAAATACGGTTGTAATTGAATTATTATATGATATGTGAGGCCGTCAACTACATGTGACGACACTCGGTTTGTACAATCGGCCACTTAGGGATCTGTTTCCAAAACTCCGGATCCGGTATTGTACAACACCCATAGTAACCTCGCGATCCCGATCTATATCAACGCCATTACTTACAAACACTTAGTTGCGGTTGTTGACAGGGGGAACCTCAACAGAAGCGGGCTCGCCCTTCTGGAGATCCTCAGCAACCTTTTTAGCAGCACCCTTGTTGCCGACGCTGTTGAGCCACTTGTCGAGCTTGAACTGATCGACGGCGCGAAAGCCGTTCACAGCAGGGGGCAGGACCTTGGTGCACTCGGTGAGCTGGTTGATGTTGTTGACGCCCAGGAGGGAGAGGCGGATGTATTCACGAGCGTAGTCCTGTTGAGCAAACACACGTTAGCAACCTGAATCATGGTCTCAGCGCGCAACTCATCGGGTGAATCAGCTTACCTCGTTCCAGTGGTTCTGTCCGCCAGGGCCAGCAAACTCCTTGAACTCCTTGGCCGTCTCGGGGTGCTGGGAGATTGCAATGTCACTGGGGAACTTGAAGACGCGAGGCGGCGAGTTGGAGCTGAGCGTCTCCTTGTAGTAGAGCACGTCCCAGACGCCTGGCGTGCTGTCCTGGGGGTCGCCGGCGCGGGTGGTGTTGACAAAGTTTTGCTGGCTGGTGGTGTGCGCGCCGAGCAGGGCGACGAGGCCGTGCGGGCCGATGGTCTTGTCGCGGAAGAGCTGGATGAGCTGGTCGGCCGGCTGGAAAGGGCTCGGGAGGAGACCGCCGGGGGAACCGTTGGCGCTGTCTTTGCGGCCGACGTAGGACTTGATGCGGGGGCCGAGGGGGCAGACTACTGTTGCGACGTTGGCGCCCATCTATTTGTTTAAGTAGTCAGCAAAGGTCGAAAGTGAGTATGGTTTTGATCAGGATAGTGAAACGTACCTGGATGAAATCACCCATGCCAATGTCCCAGCCCATAGACTTGTACTTGCCATACAGCTCCTGGAACTTGACAGCAATCTCCTGCAGACCGCGGTTCTCGAAACGGTCAATCTCGCCGGGGGCAAGCAGAATGCTGCCGTCAGCACCGCCGCCCTGGGACGCTGTAGCCTTGGACCACGTCCCGGCATCGTGGAATCCAAGACGGACAGCGGCGCGGGCCAGACCCGTGCAGCGGCCCGACTTACCGGCCATGAACTGGTACATGTCGTCGGCAACGTAGCGCCAGACGCAGCAGGTATCCTTCTTGCACTTGTCCGAGGTGAGATCGGGGACCTTGCTGTAGCGGTCGTTAGATTCCGGGTCGCCTTTGCCCTGGAGCATCTTCTTGATGTCCTTGCCGACGGGGGTGAGGTCCTTGTCCTTGAGGGTGACGAGGTCGCCGAGGAGCTCGGTGGAGTCGCCGGCGTCGGTTTTGCGGGACATGATTTCGGCCATTTGCTCGCCCATGCCTGGGTAGCCCATGGTTCCTGGGAGGGAGACCAGGGCCAGGGAGGTGGCGAGGACGGATGTGATGTGCATGATGATAGCTGTATATCGACAAAAGCGAGTGTGTTGAATTAGAAGAAGAGGGTAAAGTCGAAATAGCGAATGGCAATGACACTGATGGTCGTTGGAAAGAAGGGAAAGGGAGAGAGAGGAGATGACCCGATGAAGAGGAAATGACACTGGAGGAGGAAGCCGGACATCATAGCCTTATATCATCTTGGTGTCGTTGGCAAAGAACCATCCATCACGACATGGTCATCCAGAACCAGGCTTGTCCAGCTTTCTTCCACGAGGCTCTCGGACGTTTACTCTCTCCAAAAGAGGGCCCTCCTTCTTAGCGTGCATGGCTCCTTCGGGACAAGCCCTCTGGTGCCTGAGTCTAAACAGACACCGAAAACTCTAGTCAGATCTCACGACACGAGTAGCTCGATTCCTCGGATCCCGGGTATTGTCAACTCTCAAGAAAACCTGCCGTGCCAGCTTGGCTCCGTGGCGCGTATCACTCAGCCCTTTGGAAGGAGGTTCGAGGGAAGAGAAAGCATGCCACCCCGGACTTGGAGACGGCCACAACGAAGGAACAAGAAACACGATGCCTATCCTTCGTTAGGCTAGCCTTGGGCCCCGGCGGCCCATCAGTGATCACCCACCGCACCGTCCGCCCTGGCATCAGCAGATATTCCTAAAAGATCATTCGCCGAAGAAAGCGGCTCGGTCTGACGGTCGACCAGGGGAGGGAACCAGAGGTCTGGATAAGGGCACTCATGCGCCGGAGCTGTACATGCACGCTAAGCCGGCTCTAACAATAGACTCGCATACATGTGGCATGCAGATGCGCCCCACCCCGACGTGTGAAGTCCGTGATCCCCGCTTCCACCGGCCGTGTCACGGTGCGCAGAGTCGCCGGTGACAGGGGTCGAACCCTCGTATCGTATACCACTAGGCACAATGAGAAACGCCACGCCAAGAACGACGGCGTGGGATTGGATGGTGAGCGTTTAAGCTTCTTGGGTTGGTATACGGCGCCAAAACAGAAAGACAGAGCTAGATCGCCAGGGCAAAAGGGGTCCCTCCATACTCTGGAAGAGCTAGATGGAAACAAGAGGCTTGAAGAGAAAGAAGGTTGTTTGTGAAGCCGTCAGACTAAACAGGAATAAGCTAGGCAAGACAGTTGGACAGACCCGAGAGGCCGTTGCCTAGGCTGCGATGGGCGGTGCGTCGCGACTCGCGTGGCGCCGTCCGCTGAGCCAAGATCAACAGCTTGTTGGACTTTATTTCCCAAAAGCCGCTCGGTGTTGTCGTCTCGCTCACCCATCCCTTCTCTCGCCATCCCGTCTGACGCTATTGAGCGCCGCAAATGCGCTGGCACGGCTGGCAGGTCGGTCTGCAGTCGTCCATTCTTACCTTTACCTTTCTCCTGATTGGGACGAGGGCCTTGAAGAAAGATGCGGTATCCGATGTTGATCGGTGGGTCCGCTCGGATGAAAATGTCACTTCCGTACATATACGAGCATCTGCACGTGGCCCATCGTTATATGCTCAATTCCCCTCCCCCTAACTGGCTGGTTGAGAGAGATATTGAGCACTGAGCAGAAGAGGGCACCGGAGAGTCTGTGTTTCTTCCTCTCTCGCTCGAGTTGTTGGCCTGGTGCGACCCACGCCACGAGGAAATCGCAGCCTCCATTCCTCCATCCTTCCAGCGCAGAAGCTTCCGTAGCACGGTGCTCATTCTTGTTCAACCTTTGCTGCGGTCCTGTGGAGGATTGAGCACGACTTCGGACGAGCCTCCATATCCCTACTCCGTACTGCGAGCCCTGTCGACGCAGGTACCGCTGCTGGCTCAAGGTTAGCTCGTTTGACTGGCGTTCGTTTCTATGCCGACCCGGTCTCGAGTTTGTTTTCACCTCGATCCAACCAGATGTAAGAGAGACGTGTTCCGTCTGGGAGGATTCGTTTACGAAGGATCTCTCAAACGCAGTAGCGATGAAATTCGACATTCATGCGAACCCGTGGGATTCTGAGTTGTTCGGATGGATGAGATCTGGACCAGGTTCATCAGAAGAGTCATCATGGCAGAGGGGAAAAGTAAGAATTGCTCCGCAGCGTTTGGTCAGCTTGAAAGGAGACCGACTCAACCATGCGGAAATATGTGTCCAAATCGGGCTTGACCTATTTTCAGCTGTGGCGCACGGCAACCCAGCCGCACCGTTTGCTGCTGACCTTTGCTTCATCTCATTACCTAAGGCGAGGTCACTCACTCATCTTGAGTCACAGCCCTTCCTTGAACTCATTCGCTCACGTCTTCCCTTTGGTCGCCAGCTACTTGCGTGAGATAAGCTTACTTTCTTGGTCCAAAGAAAGAAGCCTGCAGAGTGCTACATATACTGAGATGCTCTGCTGAACCTGGTTATTGGGATGCATTGGCTTGGCTGCAGTGTCCCAACGCACCTCGAAATGCCGTGTCGCCGGACTACTACGTATGAAGACCAACTAACCCCCCCTTTCCTCACTGCCAAGCCCGCTACTATTGATCTTTCTAACTCGTTTCAGAGAATGATTTCAGCTGTCTAAAAGTCTCTTGACAGACAGTTGACACTTGTGACTTGGGGACAGAAGGCAAACTCGTTTACGAATAGTGACTGGGAAGTTTCGAGTCACATTAGACTTCTGGACTTGGAAATTTTCTTTTGGGTTGCACTCATCGGCATTTGGGAAATGAAGTAGAAACACTCTCAACCCCGGCGTCGATCATGGGCAATCGCATGCCTCCTTCACCCAACCCATGAAACTAGGCTGAACTTGGCCGATGCCGAAGTAGGTGAGTTACAGGTGACGGTCAGCTCCGGTGCCAGGAGCCTAGCAGGCTGGGCCGTACGTGCAATGTTGGGTTGGCACCTTTAAGGTCAGGTCAGGCCAGGTCAGGAAATACTCGTATTATCCCATTCGTACTGTTATTGACACATAGAAAAAAAAGAGCTGCTCAGTCTAGCCCAAGTACAAACAAGGGGAGGTCGATGAGTTGGACCCCCCATGCAAAGATTTTTTCATTACCACCCAAAACTTTTCCTTTTTCTGATTCGACGATTCCCGAAAATCTTGCTTACTCCTCATCGTCCTCCTCAGCAGCAGCGCCCTTCTTGGCCTTCGCCGCGGCAACCCACTCCTGAGCCTTGGCCATCACCTTATCCCGACCCTTGGGGCTGATCTTCTCCTCCCAATCGGCCCACCTCTTGAACCACTTCATCGCCTTCTTGGGCTTCAGGCCCTTGGCCTTGGTACCCCGCTCAAACACGTCCCGGATCGCCGTGGTGTCCGGCTCGGCGGCCGCGACCTCGAGATCCGCCAGCTGGTTCCACAGATCAAACCGCTTCGGCCACGTAGCGAGGATCGTCTCGAACGTCGTGCGGCCGCGCTCGGCATCGCCGTTGGGCGACTTGAACTCGAGGGCACCAAAGGAGGCCATCAGCTGCGCTGTGTGACGCTCCTCCAGGGCTTGGGTCGCGCGGGGCAGGAGGGCGCGCGCGCGGTCGGGCTCGTTCATCGTCACGTGGAGGAAGTGGGCGTAGTTCTCCCATACCTTTGGTGACTTTGACTTGAACTTGGCGACTAGTGACTGGAAGACATCATCCGCTTGCTGTATGGATGCGTTAGTAACGTTTGAGTTCCACGGAGTACTGAGAATGCTTACCTTGAGCTTTCCGGACTGGATGTAAATACTGGCCAGACGCTCGTGAACCTCCTGCTCGTCGTTGTACTGGCAGGCGCGCTTGAAGACTTCCTCGGTGGAAGCCTTGGTGCCGTAGGCAACCTCCAAGTTGAGGTAGGCGATCCAGACGTTGAGCTTCTCGGTCTGTTCTCGAATGTTGATCGTCTTGATGGCGCGCTCGGCAGTCTCGCGGGCCTTGGACAGCTCGCTAACCTTCATCTGCAGAGCCATGTACTCAATCCATAGTTGGGATGAGTCGGGCTGACCCAACAGGAGACGCTCGTAGTCGGTGGCGGTTTGCGGTCCGTGGGCGTCAAGATCGCCTGTACGATCAATCTGGATCTCGCCACCCTTCTTCTTCTCCTCCTTCTTTTCGGTCTTCTTTGACTTCTTCGACTTGGCCTTTGACTCGTTTTCTGAATCGTCAAACGCATCGCCAGTCCAGTCGTACTTGCCAGAGGTGAGACCCTTGCTAGCTGTCGCGTCTTCGTCCATTTCCACGTCGCTGTCCTCATCCTCATCCTCGTCACCGTCTTCGTACTCTTCGTCTTCCTCGTCAGACTCCTCGAGGTTGTCGGTGCCACTAATGGTGAGTTGAGCGCCGCCGTCTCCCATTTCAATGTCAGAGTCCTCATCACTCTCAAGATCCGCACCTCCATCGGCGTCTTCCATATCACTGTCCTCATCGAAGTAGCTAGGCTTGAGGCCAAATGTGATACGCCTCCTCTCATCGTCCACTGAGAGAATCTTGGCCTTGACCACATCGCCCTCGTTGTAGAGCTTGCGGGCATCCTCAACGGGCTTCTCGGCCATCTGACTGCGATGGCACAGGCCACTGACGTTGAGGGAGTTGTCGACTACGATGAATGCACCAAACTCCTCGACCTTGCGGACCTTTCCGGTCACGATCTGTCCCTCCTTAACATCCTTGTACGTCACGGGGGGCGTGTAGTCGTTCTCAACCACGGAGGCCTTGAGGCTAAGCTCGACCTGGCTGGTAGCGGCGTCGACGTTGATCACTCGGCCCTTGACTAGTTGGTCAACTTGGAAGGCGCCTCTCCAGTCCTTGATGTAACGATCAGACAAGTTACCAATCTTGACCAAGGCAGAGACGGTGCCGCCGAGTTGCACAAAGACACCCTTGTCAGTCACGTTCTTCACAAAACCGCGAATAATGTCTCCAGAGGCAATCTGGGACACTCTGGTGATTTCGCGATCCGCGACAGGCGACGTGGAGCTGAGAATGCGGGAGGGTCTGGTTGACAGTCTGAGTCTCTTGTCGCCCTTATCAACCTCCACCACAGAGATGCGGACAATTTCGCCTTTGTTGTACTTGAGGGTGTTGGCTTCGTCGTAGTTATCGCAGAGATCAACCAAGTGAACTGGTCCCGAAACAGATTCACTAAGCTTGATCATGACGGAGCGGTCGTTAACCTTGGTCACTCTGCCGGGGAGGGCCACATTCTTCTTCAGGGAGTCCCAAGTGACCTCAGTAGAGCCGGTGGATGATCGAGCTGAGAGGTCCAAATGTCCCTTCTCAGCATCGACCGAGACCACACGGACCTTGAGAGCAGAGCCAACGGGGAAGTGCTTCTCGAGATTGCCAGCGTGGGAGAGGTCGTCAGAAACGTCCATGATGCCGATTCTGCCGCGGACAGTGGGTGAGATGTTGACCCACAAGCAGTTCTTGCCGTGGTTGTTGACAAAAGCGATGTGAGAAGAGCCGACCTTGATCTTGTCGTAGGCAAGGAGTTCGACCTCCTCAGTCTCGAGGTCGCTCTTCTTGGCGGAGAACTCGATGACGGAGTGTGTGGAGCGGTGGGAGAAAGGCAGGAAGCGGTAGTTCTTGGAGTCGTGAATGCCGATAGCGCGGACGCGGATGATCTCGTTCGCCTTTACCTTCTGCAGAGGGTTCTTGCGGTTGGTGATGTCCTCCCACTTGTCGAAAAACTGCGACACGTCGATACGGCCCTGAATGTTGTCGGCAACTCTGACGTTCAGCTGCGTGTTCTTGACGGACATGACCTGGGCGTTGAGAGTTGTGCCGAGAGCGATGTCGTCGAGTGTCTTGATGCTGTCGTCGACAGAGTTTACGGCGGACTCGGATACAGTGGGAGCAGGCTTGTCGGCCGAGGCTGGCGCAACAATGATGCGGTTCTGCTCAGGGTTGGAGGACACAATCTGGACCTCGATACTCTGGTACTTGCGCATGCCGAATGCCTCCTTGTCTTGCACATCCTTTGGCAACTTGCTCTTGGGGAGGATGGCGGTGACGTTGCCACCAAACTGAACGTAAACAGCGTGAGGGCCAATCTCCCGGACGTAGGCAGGCGCGGTAGCACCGGCAATAGCATCCTCGACGCTTGTCAAAAGCGTGCCGTTCTTGCTGGCTTCAATGAAGCTAGGCTTCTGGGTAAGGATAACAGCACGTCTGAGCTCGTTCTTGTCCAAAACCATCAGCTCCGTAAGAGTGTTGCCGACATTGATGCGCTTCAGAGCGGCCTGGGTCTTGCTGGCAGACTTGTCTGAGAGGTGACCAGTGCGGATGATGGCCTTGAGACCACTCTCCTCAAGATCAACGTAGACCTCATCTTCAGTCTTCTGGCTGACCTTGGCAGAGACGATGTCGCCAATCTTCAGTGCCTTGAGCGCAGCCTGCTTGTCTAAACCGAAAGCCGAAGGATCCTTGCACGAAACAATCATTCTGCGGTCCTCGGGGGTCACGCTGAGGACGTGAACGCTAACGACCTGGCCGGCACGGAAGTGCTCTCTAGGGTCCTTGATGTAGGCCTCGCTCATCTGTGACACTGGCAGGAATCCTCTAACACCGCCAAAGAACTCGAGCTGAGCACCGGCGGAACCGATTTCTGTAATTGTTCCCGGAGTTTGCAGACCCACCTCAACCTCTTCGAGGTTCTTGATAATTGGCGCATCCGAGTTGACCAAAGTTTTCTTCAGGGTAAGGCGGAGCTGGCGCTTTCGCGGCCGCACCGAGAGCACTCTGGCCTTGACGGTAACTCCTTCTCTGAACTTCTTCTCGGGGTGCTGGAGTTTGACGTCGGCGAAATGTGATTCATGCACGTAACCACTGATGCCTTCGGCCAACTTCACGATCAAGCCGCTAACACCGTTCTCGCCAATAATGACCTTCTCGATCTTACCAGTAACGACCTCTCCGACGGGCACATCCTCAAGACGGATGAAAGGCTGGTCAAGAACAGTCTGCTCAAATGACAACAAGAACATGGCATCCAGAGGGCTGTAGCCGACGACTCTGCCGCGATGTGTTGAGCCAACCTTGTGAGGGCCGCTGCTTTCGTACAGCGCATCGACCTTGCCGTCCTTCACGCGAGAAATGTGAACAAACCCGGAGATGCCAGGAACGCCAGTGTCAACATAGAGACCGATCTCAGGCTCGACATGGCGTACAGTGCACTTTTCCACAAATGAAGCAATGGGAAGCAGGTCAAGAGGAGCCTTGGCTCTGCTGCCTTTGCCGGATGACTTCGGCTGCATAGAGACGATGTGCGGCAGCAGAGACATACCGAGCTTGGGCTCTCGCGCAGCCGGGAAGTTGCAAATGATCCTCGCCTTAACGCGGTTGCCCACTTTGTACTTGGCCTCCAAGTCGACACCCTCGGGACCAACGCCTGAGTGAATCAAGTCGGCGGTAACCGGCAAGTGCCCGAGGAGCTTGCCCTGCAGACCTCGGCTGGTCACTTCGGTGAGCAGAACATCGGCGAGGGAACCAGGCAGGAAAGAGTTGATCGTCGGAGCAGTGGAAGCCACAAGCGAGGTGTTGCCCAGCTTGAGAGGGTCGGTTGACAGTTGGACGATAATGCCGGTAACGCTCTTCACAACACAGAGGCAGACCGCGCCTGGTCGCAAGCTGGCCTCATCCATGTCGGGGCCGACTTCCTTTTTGGCGAGGAAACCCTTCAGATCGCCCTCAATACCCAAGTCCATCTCGTAACCGTGATCTTGGACGCTGGTGACTGACGCCATGAGCGTTGTGTACCCGACAACCTCGTCACTGGAGATGCCAGTGTTGGCGTCGGTGGGCCGAAGGGAAAGTTCGATGCGGCGCTTGGGCTTCCCGGTGCCGGACTCGTCTGCGGTCGACAGAACATGTGCGCGAACATACTGGCCGACCTTGAACATAGACTTGAGGTCAATGCCCTCGTCGTCTTCGTCCTCCTCCTCGTCTTCGCTTTCGTCGGCGGCGTCTTTCTCGAGCTTGGAGTTGATTGTGTCCGAGATCGAAGCGATTGACACATGTCCTGTAAGATTGTTCGGCAGTGCGATCGTTAGTTCGACCGGGTCGATTGTGCTAATCTGGCCGAGCACCAGAGAGCCCTTCACCAATCGCTAATCACTGTGTTAGCTACATTTGATGCAATGAGGGCATGAATGCCATACCTTGAAGTTGAGACCTTCAATTTTGACGGCATCCTCATCTCTTGCAGGCTTCATATCTTTGGTATCCTTTGCTTTCCTCCTCTTCTCCTTCTTTGCCTTTCCCTTCACATTCGTGTCGAAGAGTTCGGCCTCTTCCTTTGCGGCGTCTGCCTTCGCCTCCATGGTGATCTGCTTCTGCTCGAGGGGCGTAAGAACGCTGCCGCCTCCACGGGGGAACAAAGGCTCGTCGTCCTTGAGCAGCGCTGAGACTGCGGGAGCCCGGGGCGCGGGAGCATCCTCAGTCGTTTTCTTGTCCTTCCTTTCCTTGGTGGGAGTATCGCGCTTCGAGGGCCGGGACACCTTGGAGGCCTTTGCCGCTTTCGATGGAGGAGTACCCCCAGGGGCATCCTTTCGCTTGAGAGAGCTCATTGTTGTGGTTGTGCCCAAAAGTCAGTTGCAATTACTTGCAACAGTCCTGGACTCGATATTGAGATCGGAGAGGAAGAAAAAAAAAAGGCCCAGGGACCTTTCTTGCGACTACTCCACTCAAAACATTTTTTTCGCCTTTGGGCGCGGGATGCAGGCCGATAGCCGATAACGATAAGACATGGCTTATCGGACCCTCCACCAAAAAGCGGGCGACTGCAGGTGGGCACTGGCCGCGCTGGGGAATGGTCATCAACCTAATGGAAGCCGAGGTGGCGGTTAGCACTGCCAGTCAGGTACCACCGTAGAGGGACTAATTACCTTATCTAATCAGCAGGGTGTCTTTTGGAGGGGCTGGCCGCCTGACCACCCGACCAGAGGTACCGCTGGTACGTAGGTGCTCACCTCAGTACGGATAGCGCCAGGTTGCGCCTGAACACTGATCCCAGGTCGCCCGCCAAACGTGGGCGCCACCATCCTAGGCAACTCATTCAACAACGGCCAGTTGGTGTCGTTTTCCCACCAGCCTCCAACACCGAATTCTCAAAACGAACATGCGGCAGATTGACTTTCAACCTGCTCGTTCGACTTTCTCCCACGACTAAATCTCCTCTCCGCCATGTCTCCTCGAAAGCGTCAGCGTACTACTCCATCTGCGCCGAGCTCATCGAGTCCACCGCCTGCGGCAATTGCCCCTGCGATCCCAACGTCGGCTACGTCACAGGTCACGGCCGTCTCAGAACCTGCGAACCGCCCGGCGCGAGAGATGCCTTTGATGAGGGACAGAAGCGGCAGCGAGACGAAAAACACACCACAAAACTCACAGAAACAGGTGATTTTCTTATTCTAGTCGACTACAAGCTAGGGGGGCTGAAATACTAAAATGAAAAAGCAGGTTCGCAAGGCGCGAAGTTGGTACGGCTCTTGGCCACGCGTCCCAAAGACCTCTGCATCGACCCAACTGGCACGAGAAACAATCTTTGGAGGCACTTCCAAACCCTCCAGCATACCCGACTTTCGAAGATTTGACACCAAAAAGAGCATCGACTCGGCGAGTTTCGACGGCCCGGCAGATTCATCAGCATCATTACCACAGATCCCCGAGGACGGCGCTGCGACGCCGGAAGTAACCGCGACTACCAAGAAGGACGGCGCTGGTGCCATAGCGCAGGGTTCATCGACAGATGCTAGTAAACCAGGAGAAGGAACACCGGCGAAAGTCGACGATACGAACAAGACGATAGAAGAACGGCAAGCGCAAGGCATCGAACCCCCGGCTACAACTTCAGGCTGGTTTGGGTGGCTAGCACGGGCCCCAGTAACAGAAACACAATCGTTCACGCCGGTAGAAGAGGTACCGAAGGAGGCAGATCCCGTTCCAGAACCCCAACCAGCACCATCAGTCGAATCACCAGCCCCCGAGACCCCCGTCGAAAACCCAGGTCCCAACCCTCCCTCATCGACAAACTCTTGGTTTGGTTTCTGGTACTCGAATGCCCCTGCGACAGAGAACCCCACAGACTCGGATACCCCAAAGCCCACGGAAAACACCGAGATGCCAAAGGGACCCGAGGAGCCGGTGAAGCAGTCCGAAGACGTGGTCATGGAGGACGCACCACCACCGAAGACAGAGCCTGCCAAGACACCTTCGGCCGGTTCCACCTGGGCCTTTTGGTCTAGAGACACTCGTCCGAAAGCTGAGGGAACGAAAAGTCAGACAACGCAACCAGAATCAGGCGAGCTTGCGGTTATGGGACAGGGATCTGAAGCGCATCCAGAGCTCACGGGAATGAACGTTGAACAATCACAATCAGATCAAACAACGAAAGACGGGAAGAATGCCAAGACCACCAAAGATGCAAAGTCGTCCAAGAGTTCCAAGGCGGGTACCGCGTCAGCACCGTCAACGTTTGGAAGGAAGAGTAAGAGAAACCGTCCGCAATCGATGGACTTGGACGTACCATCTAGGTCTGGGACACCGAATCGGCCGGAATCAGTGGCCTCGTCGAAGGCTTCCTTGGCGGAAGCCACACCAAAAGAACCGCCCCTGAAACCAGGCACACCAAAGGCTAGCCCAAGCCAAGAAACACTTTCGAAGGCAACTCCTCCGAATCTTCTATTACCCTCATTTGGGATTACTTACCGGATGAAAGACAACCCATCCATCATCAAACAGATCACCTCATTGTTGCTTCGTACTCAGCAATCTCCGGTGAATCATGTTTATAAAGTAAAGGAGACGCCCAAGATCAAGAAGGCCATCGCGATTGGCGTCCATGGACTCTTCCCGGCGATGTATCTGAGAGCTATGGTCGGGCAACCGACAGGAACATCATTACGCTTCGCCAACCTCGGCGCCGAGGCCATCAGGAGATGGACCGATGCTCACGGTTGCACCGATTGCGAAATTGAAAAGGTCGCTTTGGAGGGCGACGGGAAGATTGCGGACAGGGTAGACAACCTGTGGAAGCTTCTTCTTAACTGGATCGAGCACATCCGCAACGCAGATCTCATTTTGGTCGCCAGTCACTCCCAAGGTGTGCCTGTCGGAGTCATGCTGCTGGCGAAGCTCATAGATCTGGGCATCATAACGAATGCCAAGATCGGCGTTTGCGCCATGGGTAAGTCTTCAAGACCACGCACCTGACATCCCCTACACCCTGAACTGTAACTGACGTCCGCAGCCGGAGTCTCGTTGGGTCCGTTCCCAGACTACAAGTCGAGTATGGGAATCCTGATGGGAGCCGCCAATGAGTTGTGGGAATTTTCAAATCCAGACAGCGAGATTTCCAAGAGATACGAGCACTCGCTTAAAGAAGTTCTCAAATACGGGGCGAGAATCACATACATCGGCAGCATTGACGACCAACTGGTGCCGATGGAATCAGCCATTTACTCACCAGCATCTCACCCCTACATCTACCGCGCCGTGTTCATCGACGGCCGCATCCACGCGCCAGACTTGTAAGTGTATTTGCTGCCAATGCCTTCAACGCACCGCTAACACACTCCTGTAGCATCGCCCACCTCGTCGGCTTCGCCCTCAAACTCCGCAATCTAGGTGTCTCGGACCACGGACTGATAAGAGAACTCTCCACGCCGCTCGCAGGCAGCCTCTACTCGGGCGAAGGCCACTCGCGTCTCTACTACGACGACCAAGTCTACGACCTCGCGCTCACCCACGCCCTCGAGACGTCCGACGTCCGCCCCAACGTGCCCGCTACCGTCGCCCACCGCCGCGACTCGACGGGTGCGGGGGCCGGGGCCTCTGTTGCGAACCCGAACCCGTATCACCTGCCGTGGATAATGCGTGGCTTGCTGGAAGAGAACTTTGTTCGTACGGAGCTATCGTCCGAGACGGAGGAGTTGTTGAGGCAGTTTGATGACTGGAAGCCTGTCACGAAAGCGCTCAAGGATGTCAAGTATCGGCTGGAGGCCATTCGATCGAAGTTGTGAGACAGCCATCATGGGGATAAAATTAACCATGTCCTGCTGAGAAGAATTGGGGTTTGAAGGGCATCCCGCAATCCTTATTCCTCTCTTCCTTCACCTTTTTCTTTTTGTCTCTTTTTGGAGGGGAGTTTAGCGGCTAAAGATTGATGAGATGGATTACCCGGCGTTTCTTGTCATGCTTAGGGGAGGGAAGACGAATACCTAGACTAACATACACTTTACAACCATTACACGATGCTTGGTGTCTTTACACTTACGACGGCCAGGACAGATATTACAATGTACACAAATTCAATACTCTATTTAGACAACTATCCGCATTTCCCGTTGTCATGATAACTTGACTAGAGCTAATGGCCACTGAGTTTTATTCACCAAGTAGAATGAGGTAGGACATGGTTTTTCTTCGCGTTCAAAAACAAGGGGGATATTCTTTCCTACACTGCTGCTGTGAGAACACAAACTCGCGCCTCATCTCTTGTTCGATAATTGCCCAGCCAAGCCATTAAATACTCTTTACACTTCACCCCCACACAGCCCTTTCAGACTCTTTCTTTTCTTTTCTATGATACAATCATGGCCCCTTTTTTGGTTCGCCATCTCTATGCCCACACAGCCCGCCGTTTGCTACAATCTATCGAGACAAACCATCCCTAGGCGACAAACAGCACCAAGCAAGCAGCCTTTACCGCTTACCCAACTGCCAGTCGCAAATCGTATTCTGAATCGCCTCCCACTCAATAGTATGCGTGCTGACACCATGCGCCTGCGCCTCCTGCAATACAACCGTCGGCGCCCCGCTGCCCTGGCCCGGGTTCTCCACCAACCCGCCGACAACAATGCGCGCCACGCGCCGTAGGTCCTCGACCGTCAACGCCTCAATCTTGCGACACATGTCCGTGACGGGAATCTTGCGCCCGTGGACCTGCACCTGCCTACCCAGGTCCTCGAGCTCCACCATACGGCTCTCGAGGTTCATGAGCAGACTCGAGCGGAGCTGGTTCTTGGCGCGGTTCACCTCTGCCGCCTTCAGGGCCGAGAATCCCGTGTCGAGGGTGAGGGCGCGGAGTTCGCGGCACATTACGTCGAGCATGCTCGCCGTGCGGCCGGGGATGCAGCTGGCGGAGATACCGAAGAGGCCGGAATCGGTGTAGGAGTGGTTGAAGGCGACGCAGGATTCCACCCAGCCGTGCTGGTTGAGCACGTTTGTGTAGAGGCGGGAGTACATTCCCTTTCCGGGCCCGCCGGCGGAGAAGGAGCCGCCGCCGCCGAGGAGGGTCTGCAGGGTTGCGAGGGCGTAGATGTCGTCCGAGGAGATGGGGAGGCCCTCAAAGGCGAGGTGGATGTGGGTGAAGGTTGGGAGGTTCGGGTTCAGGGACGGGGGTTGGGGCGGGAGGGAGAGGAAGCCGCCGGTGTAGTGGGCTGGTGAGTTGATGCCGTAGAGCTGGGATGCGCTGCCGCTCTGGACGGAGGCGTTGTTTGGTGCTGAGGTGGAGAGGTTCTTGAAAAAGGGGACTTTGGAGAGGAGTTTTGAGGGTTGTTGGACGGGG